ACAGTTTAAGGAATGTTAATTGCAACCCACATTTGTAACAGTAGCAGACATGCACAATGTGATATGCTCAACTTAAGAAACAAAACAAAAAGAAACTATTGCTAGAATTCTTTTCGGGCAGGACTGGCATTCATGTTTAAAGGAACCCGAAACTTGTGTTTTTATAACACTATACATAGTGATTATGTTTTAACAAGAAGCACTGTTCAGATAATTATGCCCAATAGGGTTGAAGAAAGGAAGAACGACAGGAAAAATTGACAACACAAGGGAACATTGCAGATTCCAAGATGACAAGGAAGGACATTCTATCGAGAATACAATGCCAATATCTATACACAAACAACATAGTTAAGCACCTTTTGACATATCTCACGGCTGAATGAGCCCTGGCCTTAAACCCTTTGGGGCATATCTGGGACATGCTTGGTCGTCGTGTGTAACAAAGTGATCCTTCTGTACAGAACCTGGCCCAGTTGGAAGCTGTTTTACACGAGGAATGGCGTAGACTGGCCTTTCACAGGATCAGGAGGCTGACAGGGAGTATGAGGAGAAGTGTGCTGGCTCTCATACAGTCATGGAGGTTACACACGGTATTGACCTTGAATCGCGTAAGACACGCAAAATGACATTTTGAATGTTCACATTCACCAATAAATTAAACAATGAACATTCTATCATTGCAAAAATACAGGGGGTGCTTAATTAAGTTCTTTGTGTGTATATGTAATCATTCAGAACTCTGGTCTGTTGTGGCATGATTGTGTGTGTCTTCAATTCTCATTACCCTTTAACATAGACAATCAGTACTCATTAACCCATAAACAACATAGACCAACCAGGGCTCGATTAAGAGATGTTAACCTATTTGCACCAGGTGCAACCTAACATAAAAACCTAGTTGCACCAGACAAAATCCATTTCCACTGCTTTTGGTGGACCATCAGTACTGAATCAGTAACCCACAAACAACATGGACCATCAGTACTGAGTAACCCACAAACAACATGGACCATCAGTACTGAGTAACCCACAAACAACATAGACCATCAGTACTGAGTAACCCACAAACAACATGGACCATCAGTACTGAGTAACCCACAAACAACATGGACCATCAGTTCTGAGTACCCCACAAACAACATGGACCATCAGTACTGAGTAACCCACAAACAACATAGACCATCAGTACTGAGTAACCCACAAACAAAATAGACCATCAGTACTGAGTAACCCACAAACAACATGGACCATCAGTTCTGAGTAACCCACAAACATCACAGACCATCAGTACTGAGTAACCCACAAACAACATAGACCATCAGTACTGAGTAACCCACAAACAACATAGACCATCAGTACTGAGTAACCCACAAACAACATGGACCATCAGTACTGAGTAACCCACAAACATCACAGACCATCAGTACTGAGTAACCCAAAAACAACATAGACCATCAGTACTGAGTAACCCACAAACATCACAGACCATCAGTACTAAGTAACCCACAAACAACATGGACCATCAGTACTGAGTAACCCACAAACAACATAGACCATCAGTACTGAGTAACCCACAAACAACATGGACCATCAGTACTGAGTAACCCACAAACAACATGGACCATCAGTACTGAGTAACCCACAAACATCATGGACCATCAGTACTGAGTAACCCACAAACAACATGGACCATAGACAATCAGTACTAAGTAACCCACAAACAACATGGACCATCAGTTCTGAGTAACCCACAAACAACATAGACCATCAGTACTGAGTAACCCACAAACAACATAGACCATCAGTACTGAGTAACCCACAAACAACATCGACCATCAGTACTGAGTAACCCACAAACATCACAGACCATCAGTACTGAGTAACCCACAAACAACATGGACCATCAATACTGAGTAACCCACAAACAACACGAACGATCAGTACTGAGTAACCCACAAACATCACAGACCATCAGTACTGAGTAACCCACAAACAACATAGACCATCAGTACTGAGTAACCCACAAACAACATAGACCATCAGTACTAAGTAACCCACAAACAACACGGACCATCAGTACTGAGTAACCCACAAACAACATGGACCATCAGTACTGAGTAACCCACAAACAACATGGACCATAGACCATCAGTTCTGAGTAACCCACAAACAACATAGACCATCAGTACTGAGTAACCCACAAACAACATGAACCATCAGTACTGAGTAACCCACAAACAACATAGACCATCAATACTGAGTAGCCCACAAACAACAAGGACCATAGACCATCAGTTCTGAGTAACCCACAAACATCACAGACCATCAGTACTGAGTAACCCACAAACAACATGGACCATCAGTACTGAGTAACCCACAAACAACATGGACCATCAGTACTGAGTAACCCACAAACATCACAGACCATCAGTACTGAGTAACCCACAAACAACATGGACCATCAGTACTGAGTAACGCTGAAGGGGTCGTTGTCGGCACGGGTACTACAGATGTGTACCCCAGAAATGTACCGTAGCCAAAATCAGAATACAGAAATGTACCCTTGGACGATTCCATTCTGCATTGTGGAGTTTTCTTGGTCGGAACTGTCATACTGTTAATTGTATTAGATGCATTTGATTGTGTTATATAAGAGCATACACAGTAACGAATATTTCACGGTGCACAACGTACATTACTCACAACGAGCTGAACGGGAACAACTACATACGCTTTCGGTTTTGTGTTGCGGAATATGGAATGTGTGTTATTGTCCAAGCAATCGCGTTCTCCCAAGCCATATATTAATAACTGAGACTATAACTCCAAACATTAGTCCGGGGAACAACTTACTTTTACATCAGGAACGTGTTTGTTGAGGCATGTCGATAAACGATTGAAATATTCGACCGTGACCTTACAGGAATATCAAGGGCGGTTAATTTCCCGACTTTGTTGAGAGTTGTTTCCCTTAGACTATGCTCCATTACTGACTGACGGGCACCTTGCACGTTATTTGCTTTTATTTCTATCGGTTCCAGGCATTATCGACCGATACTTAAATTAAAAGCTAACATCAAATGGTGTTTAAGACTTTCAAATGACTTAAACTTCAGCAGTGTTTAATTATATTCACCCTTGTCTATTTTGAAATACGTAATTCCGTAATTTTCGTGGCCAGTTAATTCTTCCACAAAATACGCCCACATATCATCAAAAAACACATACACATTAATCATGTATTTAAAGTTAGGCTTCCATTAAATTTTTTCGGCATTCACATCTTCCGTATGCCCCATTTTTGTATTCGTGAAATAATAGAAAGTTTCACCGAAGCTGTGGGAATTAATGCCCTGGGTGCCGTTCCACTAACCGATCTTACCTAAGATCAATCTTAGCAAGTAACGCCATTTTACAATCGTCTTAGCTAAAAGTTACACCCGTTCCACTAACCGATCTTAGGCCGATCGTAGCCGGTCCCGATCTTACGATCCGATCCAAGCTTAGATCGAGACTCTTTCTTATAATCTCGGCTGTAAATATTCTCGTGTAAATTATCTGTACACAGCGCTTTGAGCATGCCCAAGGATGTGGAATAGGCGCACTATAAATATGCATTTATTATTATTATGTTATGCTTGATACCCAGCGTTCTCACGCACTTGCACCTGAAACCAAGGTGCTCACTACCCTAATATTTTGCTCTAGTTTTTTTCTCCACGTTTACACTTGGTTGGAAAAATACCCATGAAGGCCCGGGTTAGAATATTGAACTTCAATAACCCATGCCTGTCGTAAGAGGCCACTAACGGGATCGGGTGGTCAGGCTCGCTGACTTGGTTGACACATGTCATCGGTTCCCAACTGCGCAGATCGATACGCATGCTGTTGATCACTGGATTGTCTGGTCCAGACTCGATTATTTATAGCTAAGATACATAGCGTTCACTAACATGAACGCTCATGTTAGTGAACGCTATGCATCTTAGCTAGACTATTTACAGACCGCCGCCATATAGCTGGACTATTGCTGAGTGCGGCGTAAATCTAAACTCACTCACTCACTCACTCAGTTGGTTCGTAAACTACTTTCTATCATTTGCTAGACTATGCAAAGGGAGATAACTCGTGCCTCGCATTCCTCTATCTCTCGCACGAAAGAGTCTCAATCTAAGCTTGGATCGGATCGTAAGATCGGGACCGGCTACGATCGGCCTAAGATCGGTTAGTGGAACGGGTGTAACTTTTAGCTAAGACGATTGTAAAATTGGCGTAACTTGATAAGATTGATCTTAGATATGATCGGTTATTGGAACAGCACCCTGATGTGATCGAGTCTCTTTGCGCACAAAACAGTTCGGTTTTCTCAATAATATACATTCACTGAAATAATGTTTCAATGAGAAAGCGACCAGACATATATCAAATCAATAAAAATAAAGATTATAAAATAGAGATAAGTGATCTATATTTGAAAATTTCACATGAAACACGTAAAACATTCCCGATGACCTGATATAGATACACACCGGAACACATTTGTAACGTGAATGTACAGAGACACTGTTCAAGAACACCTGTTTTATTCCTGGCAGTTATATGATTTACAAGTGAAAATAAGAACTGCATTTTGAACAAAACATCAATCAAGTGATACTGTTAATAATTAATACAACGCTCTTTTTCATCAGTAATAACAGTAATTACTTTCCATAAAGTAACAACACACTTTAAATGCTATGAATGAACAATATTTCATATGTAGATAAAATACAAGTTTATAATTGGTATGCCGTGACATGTATGTCTATTTACTGTCTTGCAATCTGCCTGTCCATCATTCTAGATTTATGTCAAAATTGCAGACGATGAACCGTCAACCCCAAGTAAATAAAAAGTATCTCCAATCAACTTTTGATCATGCAGTTTCTCTCGTCAGACAAGGGTTGTTGTTGCTTTCAAAGGCATCAAGAAAGTACAGCATTCCTAAAACCACCATGTTTGATACATTGCACAATAAATACGATGGAACAAAATGTGGTCACAAAACCGTTTTTTCGGAAACAGAGGAAAACCGCCTGGCCGACTGGGTGGTGGACATGTCAAGAATCGGGTACGGTCGCACCAGGGAAGAACTTTTGACAACTGTGCAAAACATTCTGGATGTGGATAATCGTGTCAATCCGTTTAAAAACAATAAACCAGGAAAGGATTGGTTTTATGGCTTCTTAAAGCGACATCCCAGCATTTCAGTCTGGACACCACTTCAATTGGGGAAGGAGCGAGCTATCGTAACACCAGAGAAAATTGTCGGCTGGCATCAAAATTTCCTTGATTATGTAAACAATCATGTACAAGACCACACTGTCCTACTTGACCTGTCTCGAATATATAACGCAGATGAATCGGGGTTTCCTCTCTGCCCGAGGAGTGGGAAAGTATTATCTGTGAGGGTGCACCTATTGTCTATCAGTTTGGTTCAAGTGACAAGACCCAAATCAATGTGATGCCTTATATGAGTGCCAGTGGGCATTATATTCCCCCTATGTTGGTATTCCCAGGCAAGCGGTTTACTTACAATGTTTTGGAGGGTTTTGAGAGAGCTGCGATGGGACGATCGGACAATGGTTGGATGGACAGTGTACTCTTTGTTGACTGGTTGAGGGATGTCTTCATTCCTTCAGTCAAGCATCAAGGAGTACAATTTCCTGTCCTGTTGTTTGTTGATGGACATTCAACACACATCACATGGGATGCATCAGAAATTTGCAAAAAGAATGATGTAATTCTTTACTGTTTGCAAGAACATGCATCACACTTGATGCAACCTTTGGACCTTCGCCTATTCAGCTCGCTCAAAGAGAATTGGAAGCAAGCCGTTCGTCAGTATCAGATGGAACATGTTGGGGATTTCGTTACCAAGCAAACTTTTGCCAGAGTTTTTAAGTCTGCATGGGTGAAATCAACAACTGTTGACATTGCCATTCATGGCTTCAGAGATGCAGGTCTCTTCCCCCTGAATGCAGACGTAGTCCTGAATACACATAAGTTGATCCCCAGCACCATATTCTGTTCCGAGAAACCGGAAAGTACGACTAATGTGAGTTCATCGTTCTCTGCCACTAACAGATTCACTCCTCAAGCGTCTGTCTCTCATGGACAAGGTGAATCAGGCTCGACTGTCCGACCTACAGTTCAGATATCACAGCCGTCAACGTCCACTGCCACTAACAGGTCCACTCCCCCAGCCTCTACATATCCTAGACATGGTGACTCACGTACGGCTGTCCGACCTACAGTTCAGATATCACAGCCATCCACGTCCACTGCCACTGCCATTTTCACTCCTTCATCCTCTGCCTATCCTGGACATGGTGAATCACGTACGACTGTCCGACCTACAGTTCAGATGTCTCAGCCAACATCCGCTGCCACAAACAGGTCCACTCCGCCAGCCTCTGCCTATCCTGGACAACGTCAATCACGTACAATTGGCCGAAATACATGTGAGGTATCACAGCCATCCACGTCCGCTGCCACTAACAGGTTCACTCCTCCAACCTCTACATATCCCGGACAAGGAGAATCACGTACGGCTGTCCGACCTACAGTTCAGATATCTCAGCCATCCATGTCCGCTGCCACTAACAGGTTCACTCCCCCAGTCTCTACATATCCTCGACATCCTACTTATCGTGTGGCCTCTACTGCGTCTGTGCCCACCAGTCATGATTCCACAGAAGTGACACAAGGACAGGATCAGTTGTCCGTGTTTGAATCGATTCTTGGGGAGGACACTGTGAAGCTGTACGAGAAAAGGAAAGCAGAAGGCTACGACGTACCAGACCATATGTACCAGATGTGGTTGAGCTTGAAACAGACCAGCATATCGCCATTCGGGAGATTTCTCAATGTGCCGTGTGTACCGCAGAGGAAAAAGAAACGAGGGGGAAGAACACAGTCACTGCCAAAAGCGATAACGGGAGATGCCTATAGGCAGATTTTGCAGGATGGAAAAAGAAAGAAAGAAGAGATTGAACAGCTAAAGGTGATGAAACGTACAGAAAGGGAAGAGAAAAGAAAGAAGAAAGAAGAGAACCGGGAACAGAAGAAAAGAGTTAGGGACGAGAAACGGCGATTAAAGGAAGCTGAGAAAGAAAGAGGAAGAGCTGACAGACGCATGCTTGACACCAGCGAGGAGGAGGACTTCTCTCTAAATGACTCAACTGATGTCGAGATGACCCCCGTCGGACAAACCTCAAAATTTTATAAGTGTGAACTAGCATATGACAACAGGCCTTTAGCTTGGATTTCCTGTGAAAAATGTGAACGTTTGTTTCATCTCGACTGCACTGATGTACCTGTTGATGATCTCACACCTGAAGAAATCATGGACTTTCCGTTTGAATGCCTTTTCTGCTGAATTTGTGAATAGTGAATGTATACCTTCAAATTGCTATATTTTGAACAAAAATGTAGGAATATTTCTTCTGTATTTAGACCTACTGTATATAAAATTACTGAATTGACATCGTTAAGTTACATGTAAGTGGAATCACATGTGTTTCCATGGTTCTCATGTTACCCGTTACCTGGCTAAACTGACCATATTTCTTTAAGGAGACTCGATGTGGTCTGATTTATAGTTTGTGGTTCTTTCATTTGCTCTTTCGCATATGTTACACGTTTCAGTAAAGTGTACTGATCAATGCCTATCAAGTACTTTCATGCAGGTTAAGATCAATACTCAAAGAATGTTTGTCTTTGTCAATAACTGGTGATAGTTGACCAATGGTTGTGTATTATAATCAACTGGTAATTCCCATCAACCTATAATTGTTATGATAACTCACTTCTTGATTTTTCTGTAAATAGGCGAGTATTGTTCACAATCACCAGTAGCTAAAGTGACGACGTAAATCCAACTGTGAGTGCAAAATCTGAAAATTAGGTCGTGCCAACTTTTAGCTTGAAACAGGTTAATCGGACGGTATTAACTCGTCTTCACACGTGAATATGATACACATTGAGAGGTTTGTTGTGTGTATAAATTACTGTTACGTGTGATGAAACACAGTAGGAATTAGGCGGGATGTGGTGTTAGCTGTTCGGTAATACCCGACACCGCTCTACATTAAATAAATATTATCTTTGGATTTTTTCCTTTCAAAATGATGTAACAAATTTCGTAACGGCAGTGACACAATTTCAGGAAATGTCTAATAAAAATGGTAAAATATGAAAAATGAAACATCATTAAGCTTGCATAATTTATGTTATGTATATTCAGAAAAAAAATCCCCATAAAACAAAAAAAACTAACAAACATAACGTCGCACGCACAAAGTTGAACTAAGGTATTTCGGCGACGGTAAACAATGGGTACATTTGTGCGTTTTAAATACAATTTCATTTTGACACTGAGTTTGACACTGGGCGTTTTCCGACATAATAGTAGATGTATTTACTATCTGCAATCCGATTATCTTATAACAAACTAGTTTTCCCCTTAAGATTTTAGTTGGTGCCGTTTTCGCCAGGTGCCGTTTTGCTGTGGTGACGTTTTAGCCTGAACCCATAAAAAGGGCCAAAAACCAAAAGCGGCAACATCAAACATTAACGTTTTTATCTTTATTAATTTCAGTAGGCATACATCAGCATTACAAAGCACACTGGTTGAGTGAGCAATAATCCATAACAGACGGCGCGGAAACATTGGATGAGTAGCCTCCCTTATGAACTTCCGGCATCATGGCGGTGAGTAAGACTTGTGCGTTCACTTTACGATGAAATTGGAAATGATGTCTTGAAGGATACTGCTCTATGCTGCCAGTAACGTTTTTGAAGTTGTTTGCCTTGTCTGAACCTTAGGATATAGCCCGGTTACTGCTTAATACTAATGACATTTTGATAGACCGGTTTTCATTAGTCCTTCAGTTTTCGTGAACTTATACAAAGAACTTCTTGAGATCGAGACATCGCCACGCAGCTTGCTAAACAGTACAAACAATAACAGTGTAACGCAAGTAGGGCTGAGAAATTGTTTTCTTTTGCGAAATTGGTTTTTTAAACTTGTTTATACACTATAGTGTTAATTTCTCATTGATCATGATGTTGGAATATCTCTGTCACCGTTATCTTTGTACAAAATGATTCAGTGTAACGTTCCTAACTTTTTTTATCCTGTCTAGTGATGTCATTGATGTTGAGTGTGTTTCACATTACCATGATCATTGGTGAGCCAGACCTGTGAAGATCCATGATATACTTTGTCTTCAGCAACCCATATGTGAACATAGTAGATGACTAAGGGTATGTGGTAGTCAGATAGCACGTAAATTACGCTGTTTTGTCAGTTATGAAGGGAAACGTCAGTTGTGAATGAATGTTTGTGCCATATTTTACTTTAACCACAGAAGTCTTGTTATCATTTTTTAAACCATGTACAGCTTCTTATGGAAAATAATGCAGCATGTATTGTTTGAAAAGTTGTTTGCAGTATACAGGTATAAAGGTAATAGCATGCCGTCCTAGTTTTCATTTTCATCAGGATCAAATTTTGTATGGTGGCAGAATGTTGTGAGAAGTGAACAGTATGTTACAAGAGCGCACTGTGGGTAGGCCACACTTTCAAGTCACAGTTTTTTATCATGTTTATGAATTCATACCACTTGTTATAACGTGACAAATCACTGTCAATATGGCTATATGATTATAGGTGTCATTTGGAAATAGCATACCACTCAAAACATGGAACCTGTTCAGTGCCATCAGTGTTTGCCCTCGGCATAAAAAATTAGGAGTCATCATGACACCCTGGTGTCATGAGAGGGAGTCATGGACATGTTTTTGGGAGTCAAGTAAGCTTCCGTGCATCAAAATTTACGAGTCATCATGACTCCTTGTGTCATGAGAGGGAATCATGGACATGTTTTTGGGAGTCAGATACGCAGGTTTTCTGCGTCATGGCAAACACTGTGCCATGTGTTTCAAATTATATTCAGAAAAAACATCCCTGTTTAGATGATCAGTCCAGTTTTAAGATTTTATCATTCATATTTTATGTCATCTGTATTGTGATAATCATATTGTTAAGTGTGGTAAGATTTGCCCCATAATCACAGCAATTTTGGCCCCTTTTTGTGGCATATTGTAACGTAAGTGATGGACTACAAATTGTGATTATATACACATGGTGTATTTGACTGCCTACATAGTCTAATGGATGGAATGTCTACAAGTGAAAGGTTGATGATTTGATCCTGTGTCGTGTCTCAGGGGTCGGACCTGGGCTTGCACTTTAAAACTGGTACTAGTCTAGGCTTAACACTGTCACTAGTAGGGCTGTAACGAATACACTATGTGGCGAATATGATACGTATCACGAATATTGGGTAACGAATACAAATAATTATTCATGAATACAATATTGAAGTTAAGTGATTGATGCACAATATTGAATGCCCATGTTGACAGTGTTAATTTGTCACAGTAATAACCAGTGATCTCATGACACTCAAATTTGGTATCTAATAGTTATAGCTGACAGTAACATGTGCGGCCTTGGAAAACTAACATGACTTGCGGTACTACAAGGCTAGTACATATTTCATTCTTGCATATCTCATTTTGAAAAAGGACTTAAGGGTTCAAGTGAAACGGACACCTTTAAAAAAATTGTAAATATTCATGAATATTCGGTTCTGGTGGCCAAGAATAACAAATTGAATTCATGAAGGGCTACGGTTCGATTCACTGAATATGCGAGTGAATCGTAACAGTATTAGTCACTAGTGTCACTTTGAACTTTCTTTCCACATTAATGTTGATGACATTCTTGAAATGACTGAAATGTCATCACAGTAAACTAGTGTTTCACATGTTGAAGGTGGGAAATACGAAAACTCACCCTGTCTTGTTTTTCAGGCGTCTTCTAATCAGGGAGGACCCCCAAACCCGATGATGAGACCACCTTTTGGGGTAAGAAGCATTTGAGATCAAAAGAGATTTATCAGGGAATTGAGGTTTCAGACTCTAGTGTTCTAATTTGTACAATTATGATGATTAAACTTCTACAAGATTAAAGCCACAATGTACCAAGAAAATTCTCCATCATCCTCTTTATCCCCCACTTGTCAACATGGAAACTTCTCAAAGTAAACAAAAGAAGGATTAATTGTATGCAGAGTAAAATAACCTTATATTTTAAGCTAAATTTGTATGAATTGATTAACCAATTAACTCTTAACTGATTTATTGCAATGATGTGCCTTGGACTGACGATGTGTGATTCTGTGAATGTGTGCAGCACAGTGATATTCATAATAAACTTCAGTGTCATGCATAAAAATGAAAATTATTTAGCCAGACAAATAATATATGTATATTAATTTTCATTTACAATCCTTTAGCCCCACTTCAGTGTCGTGCATAAAAATGAAAATTAATTAATCAGACAAATTATATATGTATATTAATTTTCATTTACAATCCTTTAGCCCCATGAATTTTAAGCTGAAATATAAAAATATATTTAGAAAGGGTATTCAAGTTGGTAACTAGTTGTGTTTTTGCAACCAAAGTTCACAAATTATGTCATAAGGTATTGTGACATGCCTGTAAAGTTTATGGTGCTCAATTCTAAAGGTACATAAGTTATGACCTAAACCAAGAATGCCTGTGTCCCACTTAAATGTACATGATGAATTTACCATCTTTCAAACTTGCTTTACCATGTTTACAGCATTGATAATAAATGGAAGAACATTTTCAATCTCTAACTCATGTGATTAAAACTGACATGGTAAGACAGATGTGAAAGTGAAGTACACAAAATGACAAACATCATCCTTTAGCTGTTTCTTCCAGATGCCTCCTGGGAATGCCCCACCTCCAGGTTTCATCCCCCCACCTGGAATGGGAGGTCATGGTGACATGAACCAACCTCCCCCCGGAATACCAGGTAAAGGGCAGCACAGACAGCAGATACCAGGGGATTATCTAGAATTTAATACATTTGGGGAACACAACTTTATTTTGTTGAAAAGTGGAAAATGTTCAATATCAGAGGCATATTAACATCACATTCAACAATGTTACAAATGTTCAATATCAGAGGCATATTAACATCACATTCAACAATGTTACAAATGTTCAATATCAGGCATATTAACATCACATTCAACAATGTTACAAATGTTCAATATCAGGTATATTAACATCACATTCAACAATGTTGCAAATGTTCAATATCAGAGGCATATTAACATCACATTCAACAATGTTACAAATGTTCACTATCAGGCATATTAACATCACATTCAACAATGTTACAAATGTTCAATATCAGAGGCATATTAACATCACATTCAACAATGTTACAAATGTTCAATATCAGAGGCATATTAACATCACATTCAACAATGTTACAAATGTTCAATATCAGGCATATTAACATCACATTCAACAATGTTACAAATGTTCAATATCAGGTATATTAACATCACATTCAACAATGTTGCAAATGTTCAATATCAGAGGCATATTAACATCACATTCAACAATGTTACAAATGTTCACTATCAGGCATATTAACATCACATTCAACAATGTTACAAATGTTCAATATCAGAGGCATATTAACATCACATTCAACAATGTTACAAATGTTCACTATCAGAGGCATATTAACATCACATTCAACAATGTTACAAATGTTCAATATCAGGTGTATTAACATCACATTCAACAATGTTACAAATGTTCACTATCAGAGGCATATTAACATCACATTCAACAATGTTACAAATGTTCACTATCAGAGGCATATTAACATCACATTCAACAATCAAATGTTCAATATCAGTATTAACATCACATTCAACAATGTTACAAATGTTCATATCAGACATATTAACATCACATTCAACAATGTTACAAATGTTCAATGTTCACATTATCATGAGGCATATTAACATCACATTCAACAATGTTACAAATGTTCAATATCAGAGGCATATTAACATCACATTCAACAATGTTACAAATGTTCACTATCAGAGGCATATTAACATCACATTCAACAATGTTACAAATGTTCACTATCAGAGGCATATTAACATCACATTCAACAATGTTACAAATGTTCAATATCAGAGGCATATTAACATCACATTCAACAATGTTACAACAGTTATGTAAAACTATGTCTAACACTCTTCTTGTTTGGTCCTTCCATTAGGAAATGTAAGTCCATGCCACAAATGAATAACATCAGTTATAATACATTAAAACTCATGTAATAGGAATTTGGATTGTTTATAGTCTGATGGACAATATTTACTGAGGTTTGCTTGGGACATAGGGCAGATGATCAACCTCAGGGTTTAGGTAATTCCTGATGACAGAATATCCCTGATAACATTTAACATTGTTGATACTTTTGCCACGTATCAACTCCAGTAGCCAGTAGTTTGATTGAAGCATCAGAGTCTTCCATCAACATCAGTGACATAATTTTATGTCTACTTGGTCTCCGTAAGTGTTCATCTAGATTGATGAAGTCAGTGAAAGAAGAAGAAATCAAATTGTTGGAACCTTGGTGTTGGCCATGTTGGCCTGAACACTGTCTATAAACAGTGACTTTATGCCTGATTGTCTTAGTAAAACAGTGGGCAATTGTGTCCTAATCTGGTGCTGAATGGACTTTCTTACATAGATATTTGTCTCTTGGAGATGCCTGAATCTGTGGGTCATGGGTTTGAATCCTAGATTCAACAACATGTTACTTTAGGTTTTCTTCCCCCGTGAAGTAACTTTCAAAGTGGTATAAAACTTTTGTATCCTTTGCTAAACAAGTTGACAAAATGGTAATTGAAACTCATTTTAGCCATATGATATAGAAATGTGAAGTATGTTCTTGTTCAACCCAGTATACTAAGTACCGCTATGTTTCTATCACTAATATGTTTATGTTGCCAGGCTACAGTGGACCCCCAAACCTGCCCCCTCCTGGTTTCCCCCCTGGCATGCCGCCTCCGATGGGGATGCCCCCACCCATGTTCCCTGGAGGTAAGTGTTGGGGAAGTTGGTGTCTAAGACATATTAACAAGTTAATACCATATCAAGACTGAATGGTCCAGGTATCTAAAGCGCCACAGTTTGTTCTGCAGAGGTGCATCCCATGGCAGGCCAGGTACCGGTACTTATAATTTTGGGTTGGAACCCGTCATGCTGATTAAGCTTAGAGAACTGTGTTTGTTAGTACCAAAACAAGACAAACAACATCCTGTTGAAAGAGATGGAAAGAATTGGGATTATGACAGTGTGTGATCTGTCTGATTCTGTTATTTACCAAACTTAATATTTCTTATAAGACTGTTGTGAATTGTTCCTGTGACACCATTCACACCTCGCTCTGGAACCTGAGATATTGCTCATAGAAACGTTTCAGAGTGCTGGAGATGTTATACAGTTTTAGTCAGAGAAAGTTCTAATGTCTCTTACAGCATTTTGTAATCAACTGAGAATTATTTCCTAAACCAGCATTGACATACTTCTCCCATATAGGATCATGTTTCCAGCAGGGGTGAGGAGTCTATGTGGAACCTAAAAACCAAAAGACAGCCTAATATTTCTTGTTTACAAGTTTGAATGATGTGCAGGATGTGCACTATGGTGTACTATGACTCACTATAAGTGTTTTGTGTGTTGAGCAGGCACTTCCACATCTTCACCTGTCATATCTGCATCATCAACCACTGCGGGGGACAGTGGAGACAAGGTAAGTCACTATTTCAGGTGAAAAGAAACAGTAAGGTCACGATATATATTTGTCCTGTTTAAGATTCAATTGCGTATTTCATGAATCAAACCATATCCCCCTCAATTCAATTAATTCCTCATGGTCTCTAGAATCGTATATCTACGAATATTTTAAGAGAGTGTTTTTACTTGGAACTAGATTGTTCCACAAAATCGAATATATCAAAGCCACGCAGTAGAATAATTTGTATTATTTTGCCAAGGCCCCTTACAACACTGTCATTAGGCTATAGATGGCATTGGAACACAGAATGTTAAGTGTGTGATACAGGTGGAATATCGCCAACTTGTATGAAGACTTCCTCTCATGTATACTTTAAACTAGTGGTGGGGTGAGTAGTTTAAAGTGCTGTTTTCAGAGTGTGTGGACCGAGCACAAGGCTCCTGATGGAAGAACATACTACTACAACAATGTCACCAAGCAGTCCAGCTGGGAGAAGCCAGATGACCTCAAGTCAGACACAGAGGTAACATTCACAGGACTGGGTTATTTTGTTATTGCTTGACTTGATGTTTGATGTTTATGAAGGTCACCTTTGCCGTTTGGCATTTTGGCAGACCTATCCCACCTGGGGATGCATGAAAAAGGGAGGTGTCCCTCTTTGGGAGGCAAGAAAGAGGTTGTCCCTCCTTGAGACACATGAGTAGGGGTGTCCCTCTTTGGGATGCATGAAAGAGATTGTGCCCCCTTGGGACACATCGTAGAGAGGTTGTCCCTCCTTGGGACGCATGAAAGAGAGTGTCCCTCCTTAGGACGCATGATCTTGTGAGTCCCTCCTTGGGATGCATGTGGCCGATTGGGCTGGCAATTTCTATTGGTGTTATGCTCAGTGAGCTAGGTTGAAGAATGGAGCTTGTGTGTTGTTATCTCCCTGTATGTAGCCAGCTAGGCTATTTCATTTGGCCAGGCAATTTTTGTTGTGTCTGTTATGGCCACTAGGTACACAAATAGTACATGATGCACAGTGAGGTTATAGTTTGTAAGGAAGTTGTTCGCAGCTGGTTTTAGAGTCATTGCTGGTTGAATGTATCAGCCAGACACTTCATGGAACCAGTTTGTGTTGGGATCTAGGTCTAGACAGGCATCTTACTATTGCCACATTGTAAAGATGAATGGAGTGCCCATGAAAATATAGTAGTGATTATAGATACAGGGATTAGTGAATGCAGGTATCTCTTGGAGCAGAATGAAGCACACGTTACACATGTGGACTCACCTTAGGCAAGTGAGTTTGTTAAACTTGCCTCTGTTCACCCAGCAGTGAATGGGTACCTGGTGGGGTATATACTGTTCATCTTCTAATGCCTCACAGGCAGTTTGGGTTAACCAGGGTAGCAATTTCCATCATGTTGTATGTGCTCAGAGCATGCCTGTGTGGCAAGGAGTTCAATGGCCTTATTTTGATCATTATCCCCCGACACGAAGTGGGAGAGGGATATATACTTCCTTTCAAAAGTTTAGACTCACTAGTGTAAATATAACCACTTACTACAGGCAACTGTTCTAAACTAAAGTTTGCAAAATATTCCATACTCTTTAAAGGTACTGTTTACACATGAACTTATGTATTGTGAAACAAATTCGTAACTTTGAAAAGATTATTGTCATGAGTTCAATAAATGATAAAAATCAGTGAAAATTGGCAAATTCTTAACAAAACTTTACACTGAAACAGAGCTGTTCAAATGCACGATATTTGCACATGCTTTTCAGTAATTTGATGCCTGATTCATCTGCCTAAGGTTTGCATTTTGGTGCCACTGCCTCCGTGGTGTAGTGGTTAGAACGTCCGCCCAGAGAGAGGAAGGTCCGGGTTCGATCCCCGACCGCGTCATACCAAAAGACGTTAAAATATGGTACTTGTTGTTCCTGCCTGGCGCTTGACATTAATGGGTGGTCGGCTCGGAGTCAGTATAATGTGTCTGAGTGGGGTATTCATGCTTCACTGCGGCATGGTATCTCAGTGGGATAGCACTATAAAACCACACAAAAATGTCAAATCTTAGTTTGCTTACAGGTGGACAGATAAACTAGCTCAGGTATATTGAGAGGTTCTATTTCAACACATGAACTTGGCAATTTGCAGTCTTTCTTATCTTTTCTCATATTACATATCAGTTATAAATAACAAAGATGTAAACCAACATTTAAACTTTATCATATTTTTACAATGATTGGAAAATGGCAAAATACCCAATTGAGTTTGAGTGAGGTGGGTACAATTTATTTGGTTACTCAAAGGAAAATTAGGATACCCAATTGAGATGAACACAAACGAGTACATAATACAATGACCCAAACTGTTATCTGTAGCTCTGTGTCTACGGCTGTGTAGCTCCTGGTGTGTTTGTGTTACAGCGGTTGTTGTCACAGTGTCCGTGGAAGGAGTACAAGTCTGACAATGGCAAGGTGTACTACCATAACTCTCAGACAAAGGAGAGCAAGTGGACCAAGCCAAAGGACCTAGAGGAATTAGAAAGTAAGACTTGATGAGTAACCTAGGTAAAAAGTGCAGTCACTCACACTAGAAGTAGAAGAAAATGCTTCCAGTTTCTTCAGTCCTGTTGATAATGCTTGGAACAATGTTTCCAGTTGCTCAAATGTTACAGCTCTAAGCAAAGGCAATTGGCCTCATACACAGCAGAAACATTTTCAGAACTGACTGAAAACTAAAATAAAACTATGATCTTATTCAGACATAAGGACATACAGCTTTTCTCTTTACCCTTCAGAATTCTATATCATACATTAACAGCTTTGTATTGTTATGATTTCAGAAAAGTTAGCAGACCAGAAAGCCAGGTGAGTTTTTGGCAGGGACAAATGCTGTGTTCAGATAGACTTAGAAATTATCTCTAATTATCTCATGAGTAAACTGTATTCATCATAAGTATAGACCAGCTAGACATATTTTTGGCATGTGTGTAATGATATCATAGCATAATATAAGTTCAGATACAATTGTTGTCAAATTACACTGTATCTGGTTCAGTAGTAGGAAGGAGCTGCCGTCTACAGTGTCTGCCCCGCTGCCCCAGTCCCTGCTGAAACAGTCGTCCACCCCATCCTCAGCCATCCAGCAGGCCATGCAAGCCACCCTAGCCTCCATAGAGCTGCCCCCAGCAGCCCCAGGGGGAGTGCCCCCAGCCAAGGAGGTCAAGCCAGAGGACTCCGATAGTGGGTAGGTACAGAGAGAAGCAGGGCTGTTCAAATATCAGCTTTGTTTCTAGACAAGTAAACAGTGAACATCTAATCGAGGCATGTCATATGTAAACAGTTTGAGATGGTCAAAGGACCATGATCTCCTAGCTACTGGGATGTACTGGACCTGGTACGTTGGGGTACCTGTTTGCCTACAAACACAGAAGTCTGTCTGTGAGTACTAGGGGTGACTATTGAGGGGGAAACAGCTATTGTGATAGCGATAGTCTATCCCAACATACTATTGTGATAGTCTGTTGTGACCAACTATTGCAATACTATCGCAATAGTTTGTTTCTCCTTGAATTCTCTCATTTGAAGTCATTTCCAAAGTGAACGTGTAGTTAATATGAAATCAGAGATACAGGTAAGCTGCATGTCTGCGTAAATTATGCAAATATTTATATGAAAACTCAAATTTTTAAACTTATCCTATCTCACGGTATGCACTTCTCTCTCTTGATTCGACACTGAGTGGAACGATGTAAACTTTTTTCCTTAGGCCTCTCTTGTCCATCCCCCCCATGCACTCCATGCTACCCTCATTATAAGACAGCTATCTAGCTCTCATGCAAAGCATGCGGCATGCACCACTAGCTGCCCACGTGACTATCTCCGAATCATCATTCTCTTTCTTGTCGCACACGAGTGTGGACGTATGTTACTTTGCTCAACGTTTCAACTTAGTCTACAACATGGGGAAAGTTGACCAGCCATAGAAGAAGGAAAATGGCCCCGGTGTAATAAGCGTTCTCCGCGTGTGATCCACATGGATACTGTTTTGACTGTATGGGACACTGTCAATGGGACTCTCGTTGCGATAATTGCAAGGTTCTTACTTGGTGACTACACTCGGGTTTGCGCTTCGTCGTGTTGCTGACAGGGCTCGTTATGCCGCTTCACTTGACGGACCCAGTCCCTCCAAGAAAGGAAAGTTTTAGCGTCCTACTTTGTCTGCTCGGCGGTCACAGTCCCATCACTGAATGAAGAGGATTTCATGAGAGCGTTGTCAGATTCTTACTTATTGGAAGACATTCGGCTGAGCTCTCAACATTCCAGCCCGAGTCACTTCATCTTCGACCCCGTCTCGGGTAGACCGCCACCTCCCCTCAGGAGACCTCTACACAGCGGAACCTTCGAACCACGGTCTCTATCGTTCACCAGACCAGTTATCTTGGCGACCTGGCTTATCAACCTGGACAAGAATCAGCTGATCGCTACGCCTGACTGCGCAGAAGCCGCTCTCGCTCTTGTCGTTCATCCATTTGTGAGAGGAACCAGTCGACCTCGCCTCTCAACGCTTGTCAGTGGTTATTTCGCCGTCTTCTTCCCATTCGGCGGAAAGAAGTGTGTCTTGCGTCGAGCTACCTCAATCTTCTGCTTCGCCGAAGACTGCCAGATCGAATCACAATTCGTCGGATCACGCTTCGCCTGTCCGCTCCCCTCCACATCGACTTTCGCCAGACTGTCCACCTTCCCCAGAATTAGACCGGCTCTCTACGAAACAGCTTTCACCTAACCAGTCTTCATTGAAAGGCCAGTCTACGCTTCAGCGTTCTCCGGATCGATCGTCTTCTCAACAGACTTCACCTAATCGAACTTCGTCGATTCAGACTTCACCTAATCGAACTTCGTCGAATCAACGTTCGCCGAAATGGAAGACTTCACTTGAATGACATGTGATGAACCGACTTTCGCCGATACGGCTATCTTCCAAGCGGTATTCAACGGAACGCCCTTCTCCGGATCATCTGTGTACTTCCCCGAACTCTGTTGGATCCTACAGTCATGTCTCCTCAGCAAGGACACGGTTTTCACCGAGTTGTTTGGACCAGGCTCCTATTATTCTTGGGATTTGTTCACCTGATAGACCTGGTAGATCTACTTCACCGCCGGGGCGCCACTCTTCAACCCGTTTGCATTCAACTAAGCAACGCCTCCATCTACTAAGTTGAAGTCACCTCCTCGGACTTCGTCTTCTCGTCAGCATGGGACTTCCTCTTCTATGCACTCGGCCCGTCAACCTAGATCTCCTGTACACTATCGACTGCTGCCTATGGTTCAAGATCCAGGGATCATCATTCTCATTGTGGTACTTCCCCTCCTTGTCCCCGAATTTCTCATCGGGTCTCCATATGTGCGTCTTCTTCCGGCTCGTTCCCCTCCAGACATCAATAGGGATCTACTCAACGGGGCTCCGATTATAGATATCAGCGTCCTACGACTTCTGACAGGGCTCCTGCCTCCTCGCGCATCTCTAGTCTACTCGGTTTGTACCAGATTCCTGGACTCCTGCGTAGGAAACTACTCGTTCCCCAGATCTGGCTGCGATGTTGAGTGCTATTTACTAGGGACCGAATGCGCATTCAGCGAACCATGGCTGCGTCTAATTAATTGGCATTCAACCGAACCGAAAATTCGCCAGACCGGATTTCCTCGAACCGGAGATCGTTGAACCAGCATTTATCGAATCAGCAGTCACTGAATCGACGTTTTTCGACTTAACCAGCCGTCCCATGTTTCACCGACCTCTTCCAAGTATCATCGTCGAACTGATTCGGCAGGCCGGTTCGCTGCGACATTGACGAACTATTTCTTCTGCACAGAATGGCTCATCTCGTCCGAACCACATCGCCGAACTGATTCACTACAACATCCCCGTACTAGTTAACCAGATCGATCTGCTAATCACCAAATTAGTTCGTCGTTCCAAACTGAGTCGCCGCACCAGAACCGGATCATAGTACCGTTTCAGATCTTACCTCGCCGAGCCAGATCACTTAACCGATACTGGTCATCAAACCATGCCAGATCGCAGATCCAACAGCGTTTGCTGCCCCGACAGCGTTCGTCGAACCATCAGTATTCACCGAATTGGCAGCATTGCCGAACCATTCCGCCTTTAAGTTACAGCAATAATGTTGGTTCAGTCGATACACATGGTCACTTAATCAGCTACAGCTATCCGGCGTAAGATTATACTCACTCCCTCACTCATCTACAACTATCTTGAGCAAGATACCAGATGAACTACTTACTACATTCAACTTGACGGATCGGAACTTGTCAACACTGTTTTTTTACATGCTCATCGAGGATCATGACCTTGCGTCTAGATACGGTCAATTATACCAGCTGTTCATTATATTCTACCAGCTTTCAACACGATGTTAACATTCATGGCATTTGTGATACGCTGATTTCCTCACCACGGAGTGGCATGCTCTCAGCATGACCATTCGACTTGGCTCTCCGGATCACCCTATGGCATGTGAGGCGCTAGAAGATTTTAGTCACATGACTATCCCACCTGGTACCCCCTTTCTGCTGATTAAACAGATGAAGTAGCTATGTCACTAGCGCAGACATTTAGATTATGCCGGCACTTGACGCTCTGACGATCTCTGATCCCCCAGACTTAGACTACGTGACCAGAGCTCATATCATTCCGGATTTATCTACCTTCCGATCTTTACCTTGATGAATGATTTGGTTTAGAAATCTACCCTTCGGCGTAGATATCAGCTCCACAACCACTCATCTGTGCGTTACTAGACAGGCTTGCTATCCAGGCATTTTTCCGACGCTTAACTGAGTCCTATTACTACAAACTACTCGTAACAGCGTTATGGTGAAATCATGGCCTGCTTTATCATCTTCATCACCCTTCAAAAGAAAAGAAACCTCTACATCAGCAAGCCTCTGGACAGATGGGTCAAGTTTCTGCGCATGGTACCAGTACTGATGTCTTGTCAAGTAGCTATCGTCCCTTTGCCGGGATGTAACGGAGTTGTGCCTCGCACGGTTCACCGAACCGTGTTGTCCGGATGTTTGTCACTGTTGCATTGTGGGTACCATTTGCAAATGGCAGACTACCCCTTGTTTACCGGAGAATTATGATATTTAGAGTCACTATGAAGTACACTGACAGCTCTGTCTAGGTCCTGCAAGCGGATAACAATCACAGCCTTTTATTGCCAGTGACGATGAACAGTGCCATTCCCGGTAAGAGTGATTATGTCGGGATTCGTCAGCCAGCCGAGAGAGACAGTTCACCGAGAGTTACTCGGCTTTCAACTTTAGCCCAAGCCCTCAGTTCAGAGGTCATTGCAGTTCTGCTCGCATGGTCCCCAGGCACATATCTTCCCTGCAATCGCCAGGCTGTTTTACCTACGTCATTACAGCGATTTTACGACTGTTTCGGTAGATCGACGATCTCCATGCGTCGAATCTACTAACTTTATCACTCCATCTGACGGAACAATACTTCATTAGCGAACCAACGTTCCTGAGATCACCGCTTTTACGACCTTCATCACTCCATGCACAGTGTGAACGTTCCTGTAGATTGATTGACAATTTCTATGCGCCGACTCTACTACATTCAGCACTCGGTCAGTGTTGCCGTGGTAGCTTCACTATTTAACGTTCCTATCTCAGGAGAGATATCCCTACATCAGTGACAAGAGTTGCTAGGTCTCTTTACCTCAGCACTAGCCTTCAGTTCACCACAATGCTGCTCCGACAGTTAGGGTGGCTATTGGACATTGTGGAATCGAAACTAACATCGATCCAGAGACCCCACTTCATCGATCCATTGTTTGACACCAGTCAAGGGATGATGTTTACCCTTCAAGCCAGGTGGATAAAGATCTAGCGATGTGTTGCTCCAGTGCTATCTCAGTGGCAGGAGCTACTAGGCTTTCTGACATCAGATCAAGCCCTAACATACAGAATTCAGCTTCAGACGTTACAGCTTTTTTTGTGCCCGTTTCTTTAGGCAGACAATCCCAAGGAACTGATTCATCTTCCCGAACCCGTCACGTTGAAGACCCAGGTTCGAATCCCCACATGGGTATAATGTGTGAAGCCCATTTCTGGTGTTCATCTGTGATACAGAAACTGTTGACCACCAGCAAGATTCTACTGCTTTTGGTCATGCACTAAGTCCTGACCAGCAAGAAGTTAGTTTGTTGACCTAAGAAACCTGGCAGTGCCAAACCCAGTACCACTTCCCGACCGGGGCATCCTGCTTTTTCACCCTTACCCGGAACTTCGCCACTGATCCTCTCGGACCCTTAATCTACACTTGGTTCGATCCGCTCTTTCTACGACGATAGTGGAAGAAGTTTGAAGGCTGTTGTAACATTGGGGAAATCCATCTCCCAATCTGCCTCTACTCAGGTCGTTTCTGCGTTCCTGCAGCATCTCCGTGCTACTAGGAACTCAAGGGTACTACGTTAGCTGCCTAACTGGCTGCTAACAACTCGGTTTTGGCTACTAACACGGGTAAGAAGATCTCCACTCTTCCAGAATTGCAGAGTTTTCTTCACTTCTACAACTCACCGACCAGTCCAGGAAGTTCAGACTTCTGGCCTGGGAACTGTCCTTTGTCCATTGTCATGTGATTCTACAGACTACACACCTTTAGAAGACAGGGACTTCGAGTGAAGTGACATTCTTCTTCCTGGTAGCATGGCTACTGCTGCCCGTTGTCCATCTTTGGGCCTGATGATACTGAAGACTTGACACTCTGCCCCATTAGGGCTCTACGCCTTTACCTTGCTGCCTCCAAGGATCATCGATGGCTATGAAAGCGCCTCTTCATACCCTTGTCGGCCGCTTCCAGAGCTGAGGTTTCCCAAGCCACACTGGCTTTCTGAATGCATGGCGCGATCCTGTGAGCCTCCACTTTGCAGGGCTGCCGCCGCCAATCCTCATGAGACTCTTGCATTAGCCTCGACAATAGCAACTGCTCCTTGACCGCTCTCATGGAAGGTTGCTTCTGGCATTCAGATATAGTCTTCACTTCACATTAACTGCGAGACCTGTCTGTCACAGATGTCCTGGAACTACACTAGTTCGGACCTCAGCAGTTTACATCAGCCTACCAACACAGTTGAGGGACAGTTCTGCTTTGCGTTACTGCTTCTTTCTACACACAGAACAAAGTTGAACAGGATCTCAATCATTGTTCTCAAGTTATGGGTTTTAGAACTACTTCACTTGGCTTCCATACCAAGGCATCCGAATATGGCGATGCAGAGGTGTTCCACATTCACGCTTACTGTCCTCTACTCTACGGAGCAAATACGTCAGTGAAGTGTGACACTCCCGAATTCCAGTGGATTTCGTTGCATTCCGCCTCCGAAGTTGCCGGGCACATCCTTTGACTAAGCTTATGCAAAGGAGTGAGGGTCAATTTGATGCTCTCCCGGAACTGAACGTTAAAACTTGGAGTTCCCGAGTTGTGCTTCTCTTTCACCCGCCCCTGGTCGGTGTCTGTGGGGGTTTTCTCGAAGCAGGGGCTGGCCCGATTATTGTCAACTGACTTTAATTTAAGGGGGTACCTTGAAAATCGTGGCGAAGTGACATCCTTCTCGCTGAGCTGCGTCCTTCTTCGGAGGTTACGTCCGAACACCACATCGCTCGGGAGCACCCATCTCCCTGGGAGACGTTGTGCTTAGTAAGCCAAGGAGTTCAAAAGAACTCAGCACAAGCATAGGAGTCGTGTGCATGCGTAACAGGCCTCCCTTGTGCATCGCTGCCTACGGTCGTTTCCAGTCTACACAGTTCCTGCTGTTCGCACTGTCAAGACACAGGGTATCTGCGTCCCGCCGTCAGACCGTGGGATAAGTGCATACCGTGAGATAGGATAAGTTTAAAAATTTAAATTTTCTAATATAAATTGTATATTTATATACTTATCCTATCTCACGTGACAGATTCCCGCCCATCCACCCCGCTATGCAGATTCTCCAAGATGGATATTATCCAGTGGCTCCAAGAATGAGAATGATGATTCGGAGATAGTCACGTGGGCAGCTAGTGGTGCATGCCGCATGCTTTGCATGAGAGCTAGGAAGCTGTCTTATAGTGAGGGTAGCATGGAGTGCATGGGGGGATGGACAAGAGAGGCCTAAGGAAAAAAGTTTACATCGTACCACTCAGTGTCGAATCAAGAGAGAGAAGTGCATACCGTGAGATAGGATAAGTATATAAATATACAATTTATATTAAAATTTTCAATTCCTATTAAGTCTATTGCGTACAAGTACGCTGAATTTTTGTAAATACTCAATAAGTATGATCTTACATGTGTGCACACAAAAACAGATACAATAACTGAGGTTCATTGAGAGGTTCTATTTCAGCACATGAACTTGGCAACTTGCAGTCTTTCTTATCATTTCTAATATTACAGATCATATATAGATAATAAACACGCAAACCAACATTTAAACTTTATATATTTTTTATCAATAGTTATCTGTAGCTCTGTTAAATAAAAACAAGTAGAAGTAGTTTCAGTCTCTTTTAATAACTGACAAAAAATTGAAACCCAGCTGAAGCAAACAGTTAAAACATTAAAACTTATGATGCTGCAAGTCTGCTCTCTTAATCAACATGAATGAATCTGGTACTTCCTGTATTTTGCACTGAGCATTTATCAACGAAAGTCCATTACTAAACTATCGATAGTAACACATACTATTGCTGCGTCGATAGTTTTTCGATTATTACATTGATTAATTGCTATTGGAGACTCAACAATTGCAATCCATCAATAGTTCGATGCATCATTATAGCCCTAATGGGTCCACAACACTTTTCTGTGTGATGTTATTATGAATACATGTGATAGTGTAACACTGAAGACTAACCTGGAGCCACTCCTTCTGCAGCTCGGATGTAGAGGAGATAAAACAGCCCAAGAAAGAAGTCCCCTTGGTTTTCAAAAACAAGAAGGAGGCTGTTGAGGCATTCAAGGCTCTACTGAAGGAGAAGGTAACATTTGATCTAATTATTCACTTACCTTGTCAGCTACTTGCGTGTTGTAAGTGATGGCAAAGGAGGTTTTGTTCCTGGGTGTTTGCCATGGTGTAAATATAATCACACGCTTACTCTTGCATGCATTGATGTAATGTAATAAGAACAAAGATCAGTAAATAGATGCATTAAGTTTATTCAGTCATCCCTCACAGTAACCTATTCACAATACCACGGATTCAGTTAAATTGCAGCGTACTTCATGGCTAAGGAAAACTCCATGTGATTACATGTTACATAGCGACTACAGTGATGACCTAATGAACTGTGCTATTGACTATGTGCATCTGGGTTGTATATATGTATAACGCAAAGCATGCTCTCCTTATCTGAATCAGATTGTCAATTGTTCCTCAATTGTTAAGCAAACGTCTCTCTTGTGGACTGTATTACCTGGACTGTATTATATATGTTGCTGTATTACCTTTTGTCTGAGTGTTAAGGCTGTAAGGTACAGGTATATGTATGTTGCACCTGTGTTACAGGCTGTGAGGTACAGTGATATGTATGTTGCACCTGTGTCAAGGCTGTAAGGTACAGGTATATGTATGTTGCACCTGTGTTACAGGCTGTAAGGTACAGTGATATGTATGTTGCACCTGTGTCAAGGCTGTAAGGTACAGGTATATCTATGTTGCACCTGTGTTACAGGCTGTAAGAAACAGGTATATGTATGTTGCACCTGTGTTACAGGCTGTAAGGTACAGGTATATGTATGTTGCACCTGTGTTACAGGCTGTAAGGTACAGGTATATGTATGTTGCACCTGTGTTACAGGCTGTAAGAAACAGGTATATGTATGTTGCACCTGTGTTACAGGCTGTAAGAAACAGGTATATGTATGTTGCACCTGTGTTACAGGCTGTAAGAAACAGGTATATGTATGTTGCACCTGTGTTACAGGCTGTAAGGTACAGGTATATGTATGTTGCACCTGTGTTACAGGCTGTAAGAAACAGGTATATGTATGTTGCACCTGTGTTACAGGCTGTAAGAAACAGGTATATGTATGTTGCACCTGTGTTACAGGCTGTAAGAAACAGGGTATATATGTATGTTGCACCTGTGTTACAGGCTGTAAGAAACAGGTATATGTATGTTGCACCTGTGTTACAGGCTGTAAGGTACAGGTATATGTATGTTGCACCTGTGTTACAGGCTGTAAGAAACAGGTATATGTATGTTGCACCTGTGTTACAGGCTGTAAGAAACAGGTATATGTATGTTGCACCTGTGTTACAGGCAGTATGTTGCACCTGTGTTACAGGTATATGTATGTATGTTGCACCTGTGTTACAGGCTGTAAGTATGTTTCACCTGTGTCAAGGCTATATGTATGTTGCACCTGTGTTACAGGCTGTAAGGTACAGAGTATATGTATGTTGCACCTAAGATACATGTATATGTTACAGGCTGTAAGGTACAGGTATATGTATGTTGCACCTGTGTCAAGGCTGTAAGGTACAGTGATATGTATGTTGCACCTGTGTTACAGGCTGGTACAGGTATATGTATGTTGCACCACCTGTGTAAGGTACAGGCTGTATGTTGCACCTGGTACAGGCTGTATATGTATACAGGTTATGTATGTTGCACCTGTGTATAAGGGCTGTGCACCTGTGTACAGGTATATGTATGTTGCACCTGTGTTACAGGCTGTAAGGTACAGGTATATGTATGTTTCACCTGTGTCAAGGCTGTAAGTGTAAGGCTGTATATGTATGTTGCACCTGTGTTGTTACAGGTATATGTAAGTTGTACCAGCACCTGTGTAGGCTGTATGTATGTTGCACCTGTGTTACAGGCTGTAAAGAAACAGGTATATGCTGTAAGCAGGTGATATGTATGTTGCACCACCTGTGTACAGTGATAAAGGTACAGGTATATGTATGTTGCACCTGTGTTACAGGCTGTAAGAAACAGGTATATGTATGTTGCACCTGTGTCAAGGCTGTAAGGTAAGGTACAGGCTGTAAGGTACAGGTATATGTATGTTGCACCTGTGTTACAGGCTGTAGGGTATATGTATGTTGCATGTTACAGGTATATGTATGTTGCACCTGTGTTACAGGCAGTAAGGTACAGGTATATGTATGTTGCACCTGTGTTACAGGCTCTAAGAAACAGGTATATGTATGTTTCACCTGTGTCAAGGCTGTCAGGTACAGGTATATGTATGTTGCACCTGTGTTACAGGCTGTAAGGTACAGGTATATGTATGTTGCACCTGTGTTACAGGCTATAAGATACATGTATATGTATGTTGCACCTGTGTTACAGGCTGTAAGGTACAGGTATATGTATGTTGCACCTGTGTTACAGGTAGTAAGATGCAGGTATATGTATGTTGCACCTGTTTTGCAGGCAGTATGATGCAGGTATGAATGTGTTTCATCTGTTGCACCTGTGTTGCAGGAGGTGCCATCCAACTGTTCCTGGGAACAGGCCATGAAACTCATCATCAACGACCCACGCTATGGAGCGCTCAAACATCTCAATGAGAAGAAACAGGCATTCAATGAATACAAGACACAGAGGGCCAAGGAGGAGAAGGTAGGACTACTGCTGTAGTGCATTTAAATCCTGTAGTTACATCCAGGATGCTGTTTCAATATTACTAAGATGAGTGATTTAATTGCCTTCATATCAAGTGAGTGAGCGCTTACGGTTTTATGCCGCTTTTAGCAATATTTCAGCAATACCAAGGCTGGGGACACCAGAAATAGGCGGCACACATTGTACTCATGTGGTTAATCGAACCAGGGCTTTTGGCATGACGAACTAATGGTTTAACTACTAGGCTACCCCACTGTCCCTCTCATGTCAAGGAACAGGATGCCAACAGAGAGAGTACACTACCCATCAAAAGTTTCGACTCACTAGTGTAAATGTAGCCACTTACTTCAGTCAACTGTTCTAAACTAGATTTTGCAAAATATTCCATACTGTTTAAAGGTACTGTTTACACATGAACGGATGTATTGTACAACAAATTCGTAACGTTGAAAAGGTTATTGTCATGAGTTCAGTAAATGAAAAAACAAATGAAAATTGGCGAATTCTTAACAAAACTTTACACCAAAAGGCAGCTGTTCACATGCACGATATTTGCACATGCTTTTCAGCAATTTGATGCATGATCCTCGTGCAATTCATCTGCATAAGGTTTGCAGTTGGTTCCCCCAAGTTAGTGGAGAAATCAATCTTCGATGTAACCAAATATATATACATAACATATAGTGAGTGCTTTAAGTGAGTCTAAACTTTTGATGGGTAGTATATATCACTGGTGTTGTCAGTGGTGTTCAAGTGCCCCATGCCATCGGCATCCAAAATGGAAAACTGTTGGATGTGTGATCATGTTATGTGGCAGTGTTTTTATCCCCCGCAACGCGTTTTGCGCGGGGGTATTAAAATGGACTCCATCAGTGCGTCCGTCCGTGCAAATTTGTCTTTTCCGGAGCAGAACTCTAAAACCGTTCAATATTTCTTCACCAAACTTAGCACATACATGGATCTGGTGGTGTCCTGGTGCCTTTTGGTAGTTTTGGAATTCTGAATTAAATATTTTTGGCGTTTCCATGGCAACAAGTTCGACTTAGACTGAAATTGGTGGTAGTGCTCTTTTCCGGAGCAGAACTCTAAAACCGTTCACTATTTCATCACCAAACTTGGCACATAGATAGATCTGGTGGTCTACTGGTGCCTTTTGGTTGTTTTGGAATTCTGAATAAAATATCTTTGGCGTTTCCATGGCAACAAGTTCGACTTTGACTGAAATTGGTGGTAGTGCTCTTTTCCGGAGCAGAACTCTAAAACCGTTCACTATTTCATCACCAAACTTGGCACATAGATAGATCTGGTGGTCTACTGGTGCCTTTTGGTTGTTTTGGAATACTGAATAAAATATTTTTGGCGTTTCCATGGCAACAAGTTTGACTTAGCCTGAAATTGTGGTAGTGCTCTTTTCCGGAGCAGAACGTTCACTATTTCTTCACCAAACTTGGCACATAGATAGATCTGGTGGTCTACTGGTGCCTTTTGGTTGTTTTGGAATACTGAATAAAATATTTTTGGCGTTTCCATGGCAACAAGTTTGACTTAGCCTGAAATTGTGGTAGTGCTCTTTTCCGGAGCTGAACTCTAAAACCGTTCACTATTTCTTCACCAAACTTGGCACATAGATAGATCTGGTGGTCTACTGGTGCCTTTTGGTTGTTTTGGAATTCTGAATAAAATATTTTTGGCGTTTCCATGGCAACAAGTTCGACTTAGACTGAAATTGGTGGTAGTGCTCTTTTCCGGAGCAGAACTCTAAAACCGTTCAATATTTCTTCACCAAACTTGGCACATAGATAGATCTGGTGGTGTACTGGTGCCTTTTGGTAGTGTTGGAATTCTGAATAAAATATTTTTGGTGTTTCCATGGCAACAAGTTTGACTTAGACTGAAATTGGTGGTTGTGCTTTTTTCCGGAGCAGAACTCTTAAACCGTTCAATGTTTCTTCACCAAATTTGGCACATAGATTGGTCTGGTGGTGTACTGGTGCCTTTTGGTAGTTTTGGAATTCTGAATAAAATATTTTTGGCATTTCCATGGCAACAAGTTTGACTTAACCTGAAATTGGTGATAGTGCTGCTTTCTGGAGCTGAACTTTAAAAACCTTTCAATACTCTCCTTCCACTTTTCTATATACACACCTAAATATCTGACAAAATCATAACTCGTAGACATAATCATGAAGAGTATTTTGCCATTGAGGGGGATATTGATGACTTTGTCTTCTTGTTTTTAATCAAACACAACATTTCTCCTTAACCTTTCAAATGTTGTTGTTAATTCATTTGTATGTAGCAGATTTGTACATAATAATTTATCTTACACAATAAATGACTGTTGTTGTTTCCAGGATGAGCAGCGGCTCCGAGCCAAACAGGCCAAGGAAGACCTGGAACATTTCCTCTGTAACAACGAGAAGATGAACTCTACAGTGAAATACTGGTAAGCATGATACACATATGATAATCAATGATTGGTTTGTCCTGTTTGGATTGTATACAATCTGCTGTGATACAGCTGTAATACTGAATCTACTTCCATCACTCAGTCTCTGACTGGAAAACCAAGTTTAACATTATATGTTGTGTCATTGAAATTGCTGCTATGTAATTTTGGTAAATATCTCCAGTTTGTTAGGGCTTGTAATCATACAACCTCTGCCTGTTGTATGTATTGTAAGAATGGTTCTGGTGTAAACTACAGGAAAGCTGACAACATGTTTGGGGACCTGGAGGTGTGGCGAGCTGTCAACGAGCGAGACCGCCGCGATCTCTTCGATGACGTAGTGCATCTCCTTGCTAAGCGGGAAAAGGTAGGTCACTCTGTCTAGGCAGCTCCGGGGTTGGCACCAGGGACCTGTTTATTAAACCGATTATATAGCTAAGACAGTCATAGATCCATACTTAACATGCACTCCACGCATTCACTTTGGTTCTGTGTTAACACATGAACTAGTCCAATAAATAAATTGTAAAATGTTTTTCTCTGGTGTTGTTTGATCACATTGTGTAGCCAAAAATTAGTCTGATGTGTGGACTTTTCTAATAAAGAAATAAAGTCTGATTGTCTTCATTAATCTTTCAAAAGTAAACTTGTGACTTGCTTTTACCCCATATTTGTTTGATCATTGTCTTATATAGGCCTGAACATAGCCCTTAATTTGATGCTGTAAGTTTTCTATGAAGCATGGATGGTTGTGGTATCAACTTTCAACTCACTTTCATGGATAGTCACTAGTCCAGTGACAGTCCAGTCATTACAGTCCGTTTGAGTCAGAAACGGACCGATGAATTGCAAATTGTATCATTGTACAAAATTGCCACATAAATATAAATAGTTCACATGTTTATCATTTACTAATACCCAACAGCTTTCTTATATTTGAAAATTTTCCGGACTCCACCAAAAGAAACTATCATCATTGAAAACGCAAAAGTTGTTATCTGTCGCGGCCGGGTGAAACCGCAGAAACCGAACAGCCACTATCTCGTCGTGCACGGGATACACATGCCTGATGAAAAATGAAGTTGAATGTTGACGTGAAACAGTTGATGATTAAAGTGTACGATTTTTTCCGTGCTGAAGCCGAAAGGGGCAAACCATTTTATGCCATTAATAAATTCCGTAAGCGGGCAGCAAAAGCTTTGTAGTATCAGCAAGGGTACTGACAAATGTTCTGGAACACAAACATTGTGAGGGTGATGCAAAGCAGGTAGGGGTGGTGTCAAAATCACACAAATTAAAACATTTGGACAACTTTCAAAAGAACCTTGTAAGGCAGTCTATCAACAAGCTCTAATCTGAAAACAAATACATGTCGCTGAAAATTTTAAAAAAGCATTTGAAGCAAGAACCCAACCTCAGAGTATCAAAGTACACACTCTGGCGACTCTTACACTCTTTCAGGTATCGTTATAAGAAAATTTAGGGGGAGAATGGGTCAGTACTCTGTGAACGCCCTGATATCGTTCGCTTGAGTAATAATTTTCTCAGGGTTATATAGAAGAAGCCGAGGAAGGGTTCGAGCCAGTGTACTTGGACGAGACCTGGGTCAATGCCTCGCACACTGCCAGCAGTCAGTGGGTACCGATGGGGTGATAAGGGGTCACGTGAAAGCTGCCTCTAGGGAAAGGAGAGAGACTAATCATCCTCCATGCTGGTTGCTCCAGCAAAGGCTTTCTCCCAGGCTGCGACTTGGTATTCAGGGCAAAGTCCACAGATAACAGAGACTACCATTCCGAGATGAATGGTGCGGTTTTCTCTCGATTGGGTTAAAAACAAGTTGGTACCAGCTCTACCAGAGAAGTCTTTTATCGTAATGGACAATGCCCCATACCACAGCATGCAGGACCCGACAGTAAAACCCCCGACATCGAACAGTCGAAAAGGTGATATGATATCATGGCTCGACAAATTTCAGATCGCACGGCCTTCAAAGGCAACGAAGCCTCAGCTATATGAGACCATAAAAACCCACAAAGGTGAACCTTTCTACAAAGTTGACAGTTACATAAAAAGTAAGAGTCACGATATTTTGCAACTTCCACCCTATCACTGTGACCTTAACCCCATTGAAATGATATGGGGAATTGTCAAAGGAGATGTTGCCAGATGAAACACAACTTTTAGATTACGTGACGTAGAGGTTTTGGTTAAGGAATCCCTTAACAAAATCACGACTGAAAATTGGCAAAACTGTGTCAACAAGGTAGCTAATGTCATTTAACAAGGTAACTGGTCTCGGGATGGCTTACAACAGGCAACTGTGGCACCACTTGTCATCCCTTTAAGTCGTGACTATGACACTACGACAGACAAGGAACCGACAGGTCTCCCCGAATAGATTTTGAGATGTCCCCCGCCATGACTGCCTGTTCCGTTTCTGCGGTTTCACCCCGCCGCGACAGATAACAACTTTTGCGTTTTCAATGATGATAGTTTCTTAAACACCTTTATTTTTCCTTATCCTGACTCATGCTTATTGCTTGTCTTCTTCTTCTTTGCGAACATAGTGGAACACGTGTATTTCCCTATTGAAGTTCCCTTCAATAAAAAATCACTAATTAGTACTCACCACGAGTTACCTCCCTTCCACAAGCGCGGGAACGAGGGCGCCACCTCCACCCATGTGCCTCACTCTCTCCTTCTTCGCCCAGTGAGCAAGACGTGAGAGCACCTGTGTCTCCCTGCACACTATATCCTTTATTTATATTTAGTTTGTTACCTCTTATATTCATCTATAGAGGTGTAACTAGTATCCTTATTCAACATGCATTGATAATTATTCGTGTTTCTGTTGCTTGATTCACGGTTCGCCGTGTTTGCTCAGCAGTTTGCGTTAATAAAAATCTGCACTGTTTGTAAATTACGTTACTCTGCTACCGATCCGCATTTAAGATGCCCTAGTTGCATATCTCCATGCTCTATTGTTTCACGCTGTAAATTATGTATTAATTTGTCTAATTCTGCCTTTGATAAATATTTATATTCCGTCTTGTGACGGATGGCAGATAGATCTCGGAAACAATCTTCAGTCATGGCTAATAGATCGGAGTCAGATATATCCTGAGTTATCTTCGGGATAAGCGTGGGACGCAGTCCGCTATATCTAGAAGCGACCTGCATCCCAGGACGTTCCTTCATCACAATCTAAGACTAGAAGAGCTTCCATCGCCGTCTCAACGTGACGCTCGAACCCCAGGTCTACAGCCGTCAAAAGGAAATCCACGAAGGCTACTAAAAAACTTTGCTTCTGATATTCAGAATTATGTTTATATGATGATGACATTCCGATTATCATTCCAGATGTACGACATAAGAAGTGACCGGTATCGGCTACCGTCACTTCAGCGCAGATTAACATGCAACCAGAGATGCCTACGCTGACGCCGGAGATTATAACTGAGGGTCCCGTCACTATCACAGAGAGGACACCCTCAACGCCAGCGCAGACCATCCCAGACGACCTGGTCAACCAAATCATGAGACTGATGGAGGACCGTTACGGTTTACAGAGGCCCCAGAGCCACGGGCCCCAGAGCCCAACCCATAATAAGTCATACAGGGCCCCAGAGCCCTGCCTTTGGCTTCGTGGGGCCCCAGCCCACAAGCTGGCGGCAATCCAGCCCGTGGCGAACACTTCCCTAAGGAAGTCCCAGGGCGCCTCGCCAAGGAGCTAGAGCCTCACCAGTTGCGCAGGGACATCGCGAGGAGGAGAGCCGAGCCCACACCCTGTAGAACCCAGAAGGTCGCAATCACGAAGCAGCTCATATATTGATCGGACTCTAGACACTTGCTAAGGAAGTCCCAGGCGCGAAGGAGGAGATAGAGCCTCACCAGTTACGAGGGACATCGCGGAGGAGGAGCGCTTCGCCGAGCCCACACCCTGTAGAACACAGAGGTCGTTCGCGAAGCAAGCGCTCATATATTGATCGGACTCTGACTCGATACTTTCGCGAAGGTCGCGAAGGCTAAGTGGCTCCAAGTCTACTTCACCCAGAAGATCTAGAAGGGATGCCGAGAGCCAGCCGCGAAGTCCGGCATTAGCCGAGGAAGTCTCCTCCAAGGTCTCCATATACTAGCCACTCGTCAGTCCGTTCAAGACATCGCATGAGTTGTCTATCAACTGTATGCCATATGCCGTCTACAAGCCTACGCGAAGACAATTGCACAGGCTATTTACAACACAGAACGTCGCTGTATTATTTTATCAACAGATGAAGAGCCTAATTAAGGATCTTCAAGCCGACTACCTACATCAAGGGCATCAACGACGTTTCGTAGATCTTCACAGGAATCAACTTTTCCGTATAGATTGCTAGGTATGCAATCCCGGACTTCGATACGATTATCTACATGCGTGACCATTACGCAGATCTGCAGACAATTCAATAACGAAATTGAACAGCAGCCTTGTTACAGCGAGTATAACTCATAATCGTCAACGATTCTGAGAAGAAATATGTACAACAAGTTCAGCTTTAATTCTACAATTATGACGATACATTCATGTATACAGTCTACAAGCTGACAACTTGCAAGTTTTATTGAACCTTTATATAAGGAAGTCGGAATTATCTTCAAGACTGAAGTTACTTTCACGACAGCCAGGAAAATAACCTACCCAGCATTAATATTACAGAGCGAGGTATTTCGCGCCGGAGGTTTCGCGCGTTTACCATTAACCCTCGAAACACGTGGTCACTCGGGTAACTTTGGGAAGCTACGGTGAAGACTGACGATTGTTCTAATATCAACGACGACACTATATTATACAAGGTTCCTTTTCCTGCTACACCGGTGACATCACAGCGGGTACTCTACAGAATCAAAATGCCTTGTTCTGATTGGACCGTGATGGACAACGCCCTACGCAGAGGTCGATCATAGTTCACAGTTCAAGACTTAGGTTGCAAGTGACAACAATATATCAGTGAACGAGCAAGCCTCCTTACAGTCCAGCTAATCTGAACCTTTCTTGAGGTTAGAGACCTCCCCTGTCAAGTAAGGACGAGGGCACGGCAGTCAGGCGATTTTTTACATAAAGTTCAACGATGGCAGTCACACCTGGTTGTGCACCTACATCGTCAAGGACTTCGCAGCGAATTTACCTAGACGACGGGATACAAGTGGATCCAAATCCACAGCGTCTCAGACTACAGTTGAATTTCATCATCAAGCTACTAACACAACTAAATGGTTAGTAAACCTACTTAAGTTGGACCTAGAACCTTCGCAAGATCTGCTAATTCTAGGTTTTTGATTTGTAACGGCGCAGAATCATATAATTGTACCGGAAGACCATGGATCAAGATCCAACAGTCAATTCCACAAGCCTTACTCTCTCCGCTACCACTACGACAGTGGCAGAGCCTGTTGGGGTTACGCACTTCAGCTCAAGACATGACAGGCAGAGGCAGACTACAATTACATCCATTACAAGTCATCATCAATTCGCATCTAGACGAATCTCTACCGTTCAATTTACCGGTTCAGGTCAAACCTCATCTACTATGGTGGACCAAGAGATCGAATGTTTGAATAAGCGTCTCGTTAATAGAGCTGGAATCGATAACACTTCTCTACGTAGATGTGTCACTACAAGGTTGGGGAGCCCATCTTGCCAACAGGACGACATCAGGGCTATGAGCAATCAAGAGAGCAAATTACACATAAATCTGCTAGAGATGCAAGCAGTGATAAACGCCTTAATGCACTGGAGCAACTTACTACAGTATACCCAGTGGATGATTCACACAGTCAATTCGACAGTGGCGTTTTTATGTGAACAAACTAAGCTCAACCAGGTCCCGAACCTATCGACTCTATGTTTTCAATTGTTCGATTTAATCGACAATCTCAACATACATGTCAGAGCATATCACATTCCAGGAGCAAAGAATGTGATAGCAGACGCCTCTCTCGCCACACATACCATCGCCGACAGAATGAATGCTCCATACAGAGATATTCATTCAAATTATCAAGGAAATAGGAACTCCACTAATAGACCTATTTGCCACTCGATTCAACAAACAACTGACACATTCGTATCGCCAGCTCCAGACCCACTAGCATTGGCAACAGACGCACTAAGCATATCGTGGGAAGGACTCAACGCTGCACGCTTTTCCGCCACCAGCGTTAATCTCACAAGTTTACTCAAAATCAGTCAAACGCAGAGCCTCCATCTGAATTTGGTCGCGCCTACTGACCAGAGAGCGTGGTTTCCAACTCTTATTCAAGAAATCGGACAACCAATACTACATCTTACAGAGTGCTTCGAATCTGTTAATACATCCGCATACGGAAAGCCAGAAATATTCCAACTTCACGTATGGATTGTATCAAGGCGTGTCTGAATAACAGGTTATTCAGCCAGAGCGGCAAAGCAGTCTAGCTTGCCCTGCGTAACTCAACTTGCAACTTATAATGATGACAAATGGCACAGTTTTGTCAATTATGCTGCAAAGAAAGGATTTACAGCTAGATATGCTACTCATCCTCAAGTGGCTGACTACTTATGTTATCTACGTCAGACTAAGATTTTAAAAGGCTCAACTTGTCCACCTATCTTGCAGCAATAGCTCTGTCATAACTGAGAATGGGCGTCAAGTTAACCTAAACCCAGTTACTTTCGCCTTTGCTACGAGAGCTTTCGATTGGAGGATTAAAGCGGAAGTTTCACGCTCCAACTTGGGATCTGAATATAGTGCTCCAACACCTCACAAGTGAGGTTTATGAACACGCTTTGATGATATACTTGGACCCCATGATACGATGAATCTATCACGATGGCCAGTAAGAGCACTGAAAATATATCTCCACCGAGCCAAACAGGAGGGAAAAATTCAAGAGATTTATTTCCTCTATCAACAAGCTCATGAGACTGAAGTCTCACGCACTACTATCTCCTTTTGGATCAGAACTGTCATACTCACGTGCCTACAAGACTGCAGGACTCGACCCTCCAAGAGCTTCTAATCCTCATGATATTAGAGCGCTAACATCTACACTTGCTCTACACGGCAAGTGCTATTGAAATACCATAATGGAGGGTTATTTCTGGAGATCCGATATGGTGTTTGCCAACCACTATCTGAGAGATATCACCACCGAGGACGTCTCAGGTATCCACCAATTCGGTCCCATGGTCCTCGCACAACAGTTGACAGTTCCTCGGAGAAGATAAGTCAATCTTACAGATTTCTACTTATCTTATAACAGTACTAAATAGCTACATGCTATATATATTTTGCTTAAGTTCTTTTATTATCTTAAGCTCAGTACTATGGTTATTATATCATACAATATATAAGCTAACAACTCTACGGAGTTTGTTATTATATATTTAGCTTAAGTTAATCATATCTTAAGCTCAGTACTATGGTTACATTATAAATGTATTAGCTAACAAACTCTACAGAGTTTTTGCTATTATATATGTAGCTTAAGTTAATTATATCTTAAGCACAGTACTATACTCATATCATAAAAATATATTAGCTAACAAACTCTAAAGAGTTTTTGCTATTATATATGTAGCTTAAGTTTATTCATATCTTAAGCTCAGTACTATGTTTATATCATATAAGTATATTAGCTAACAAACTCTAAAGAGTTTTTTTTGCTATTATATATTTAGCTTAAGTTTTTTCATATCTTAAGCATTATGGTTACATTGTAAAATGTATTAGCTAACAAACTCTACGGAGTTTTGCTATTATATACATAGCTTAAGTTTAATCATATCTTAAGCTCAGTACTATGTTTATATCATATAAGTATATTAGCTAACAAACTCTAAAGAGTTTTTGCTATTATATATTTAGCTTAAGTTTCATCATATCTTAAGCATTATGGTTACATTATAACATGTATTAGCTAACAAACTCTACAGAGTTTTTGCTATTATATACATAGCTTAAGTTTATTCATATCTTAAGCTCAGTACTATGTTTATATCATATAAGTATATTAGCTAACAAACTCTAAAGAGTTTTTTGCTATTATATATTTAGCTTAAGTTTTTTCATATCTTAAGCATTATGGTTACATTGTAAAATGTATTAGCTAACAAACTCATGTTTTGCTATTATATACATAGCTTAAGTTTAATCATATCTTAAGCTCAGTACTATGTTTATATCATATAAGTATATTAGCTAACAAACTCTAAAGAGTTTTTTGCTATTATATATTTAGCTTAAGTTTTTTCATATCTTAAGCATTATGGTTACATTGTAAAATGTATTAGCTAACAAACTCTACGGAGTTTTGCTATTATATACATAGCTTAAGTTTAATCATATCTTAAGCTCAGTACTATGTTTATATCATATAAGTATATTAGCTAACAAACTCTAAAGAGTTTTTGCTATTATATATTTAGCTTAAGTTTCATCATATCTTAAGCATTATGGTTACATTATAAAATGTATTAGCTAACAAACTCTACAGAGTTTTGCTATTATATACATAGCTTACGTTTAATCATATCTTAAGCTCAGTACTATGTTTATATCATATAAGTATATTAGCTAACAAACTCTAAAGAGTTTTTTGCTATTATATATTTAGCTTAAGTTTCATCATATCTTAAGCATTATGGTTACATTATAAAATGTATTAGCTAACAAACTCTACGGAGTTTTGCTATTATATATTTAGCTTAAGTTTAATCATATCTTAAGCTCAGTACAATGTTTATATCATAAAAGTATTTTAGCTAACAAACTCTAAGGAGTTTATGCTATCATATTAACAAGCTTAAGTCTATTAGTCTTAAGCATTGTATTAATGTTATATATACTTTTATCATAATAAGTAAATTGTAATAACCTTTATATGGCAGCTGATAAGTTAGCAGCAGGAATTCATCAGTTCAGTGCCTTTATGAAGTTCCCATAGGGTTATTACAATCATCACAGTTCAAATCACTAATTATTAAAATCCAAAGTATTATATATTCCCACCTCCTTTTCCGTCGGATTCTACAAGCAATAAGCATGAGTCAGGATAAGGAAAAATATGTAATTTTAGAGTAAAATTGATATTTTATACTTATCCTGACTCATGAGGTAAGCCCTCCCATCCTCCCCACATAACACTTTGGATTTCCCTGAAAATTCAAATGTTGGGCTCAGTATATGAGGAGAGAGTGAGGCACATGGGTGGAGGTGGCGCCCTCGTTCCCGAGCTTGTGGAAGGGAGGTAACTCGTGGTGAGTACTAATTAGTGATTTTTTATTGAAGGGAACTTCAATAGGGAAATACACGTGTTCCACTATGTTCGCAAAGAAGAAGAAGACAAGCAATAAGCATGAGTCAGGATAAGTATAAAATATCAATTTTACTCTAAAAATTACATTTTGTTGGAATCCGGAAAATTTTCAAATATAAGAATGCTGTTGGGTATTAGTAAATGATAAACATGTGTACTATTTATATTTATGTGGCAATTTTGTACAATAATAAAATTTGCAATTCATCGGTCCGTTTCTAACTCAAACGGACTGTAGTTGTGCCGGGTGGATTCACTATGAACATGCCCTGTTTTCTGGTGTCCCCCACCGTGATATTGCTGGAATATTGCTAAAAGTGGCGTTACCCATACTCACTCACTCACCGTGATAATGACCACATCTGTTTCCTGTCATTCCTTTCATTCATACTTTCAGGAGGAAGCCAAGACACTCAGAAAACGCAACACTAAACTGTTCAATGAAATCCTTGACAGCATGCCAAGTCTGACATACTGCACTACATGGTCAGAAGCACAAGCCATGCTGCTTGATAACCCCCGCTTTACGGAGGACCCAGATCTACAGAGTGAGTACATACAGCGTTTTATTACCCATATGGTGCCTAGCAACCATTGTTGTATTTCGTCGTCTGTGACATCATTAAACAGTTGAACGTGAAGTCAATGAAAAGGGCTGTCGCACTTGCTTACTGTGTTTTACTGCACAAATGGTTAAAAAGGAAATTAATACACTCAAGCAAGTCTGTCATATGACTTATACGAAACCTCGTGCAAAATTATGTATTGCCTGAGCAAGACTTGTTTTGTACAAGTCGTATGACACACTTGCTCGTCTAATAATCTCTGTGTCATTAGCATTAATATATAAAATCTGTGGAATGGTTGGCAGCCTGTGTGAAAGTGGGCAGTGTGTCTGGTGTCGGAAGGAATGGAACATGGGTTTGGAGTTTTGTTTTAACGGTTAAAGAAATGCCTTCATGTGTAGTGACTTTGTTGGTGTACAGTTGTTGTATGTGAACATGATTGAGTACTCTATCCCCACTGACTGCTTCCATGGTGTGGTGGATATAGCAGCTGAATAAATTTGAATAATTTCAAGACATCCATGCTCATATTTGGCTTGTAGTGCATTATGTTTACATCCATATTCAGCTTTCATGCATATGGGGCACACCATTTGGTGTCTGGTGACACCCTGCCAATACAGCCTTAGCTTGATTCTGGGAAGGTAACTTGTGTGTCATTTATAACAGGACCAGAGACTGTTTGAACACAGAAATACACTTGATGTACAAACTACAAACACTGAAACCCTCCTACTGTCTATCTCTTGAACTGATTTCACATTGATTGCACAATGCCATTTACAAAGTGGTCAAATGCAACATATGTTATATTTGGGATTGCACTTTCTTTTGTAAAGTACAGATTCTAGTACTTTTGTTGGGTTGAATCCCGTCCGTGATTCGAACCCACACCCTCAGAGTCAGGCACCTAATCGCCAGCACACAAATTCAGCCGCCTAACCCGCTCAGCCACCGTGACTTCCACAAAAATAGAAATCGGACAACTGGTTGTCTAGACTGTGGACTTTGTGTACCTCTCTGACAAGTGTTAATTGGCACTGCTCCCACGGCCGAAAGCTATGATTACACAATGCCATTTAGAAAGTGGTCAAATGAAACATATGTTATATTTCTTTACTAACGAAAGTGTAATCCCAAATATAACATATGTTTATTGTCCCCCGCCACAACGCGGAACGGGGGACTATGTATTCAGCATCGTCCGTCCGTACGTATGTACGTTCTCATGAACTGTTGTACCAAATGTCTTCAAATTTGGTGATAGCCTACATTGGGGCATTACCCAGACACCAGACGATTTTGGTGACCTTGACCTCATTCTCAAGGTCACCACGTCACTTTGACCACTTTTGAAATTCTTGTTAACGCGATATCTCATAAAACATTGCACCCAATGTTTTCAATTATGTCGACAGCCTACATTGGGTAATATTTTGTTTGATCACCAATTCCAGTCAGTAAAGTTGAAACATAGGTAATTCGGAACAGCAGAATGAGAATTGCTATGTCGACTACTTAAGCCTGTAAAGAGAACGGAGTCAATGGAGTTAAACCAGCGCCTTTGATATCCTGCTTCACACAGAGTGTCATCAGTGAATACCTCCTGTTACTCTAACATTACCTCCCTTTACCCATACAACAGTTCCTGTAACTTATAACAAATGATGGATGGACAGTATTGGAACACATGATTTCCTGTCAACTTCAACTATACTACAGTACATTTTGAGACGCTGGGCTAACAATCTTATGTGAAAAAGATATTGGTAATATGCAAACATTTTGGATAGGTGTGTCTCTTGTGGATTAATCCTTAACACTATCACATGATATTACCCACCTGTAGACATGACATTGGGAGCTATTATATGATATTACCCACATGAAGAGTGACATGGGGAGTTATTACTACAGTCAGGATGCATTAATCCAAACAGTGCCGTTTTTCATAAAAAATATTCTGATAGTGAAAGGTTTGGTTTGCTGAAACAAGTCCAGTACACCACACTGCAGTAGCCTTACGTCCCTTTCACTTGACTGATAGAGACAAAAGAACGTATACTGTATATTACCGTACATAACCCCAAATTTGAGGACCAAAAAAGCAGTCTGTACATTGGGTTCGGCTTATCTATGGGTTACACCTTTGTCAAACGTTTTTTCAGGGGGTAAGAAAACGACATTGTATCGCTTTGTGTGAACGAACAAACAAGAGAAGACTTGTCAGTAAAGACGTGAAATTTGCAATTAAACATCACTAGACAAGATTATTTACATATTCAGTTCTAATTTGTATTTGCTTGGCATTGTCTTATATGCAGGGTTAAGATTACCATGTGTAATTGTCTCATCTACAGCGCCAGAAATAGCAATCAGCTGTGTAGTGCACAAGTTCCCCTACCGGTGATTTAGTTAAAACGCTAAGTCTGAATCATACTCCATGTGGGCAATATATACATTACGTAAGGGTGAAGTTAGCAGTGTACAGTAGTACATATGTAAAGAAACCTGCAAAATAATGACACAACATAAATTTGCCTACATTTAAGCACTATGTCAATAAAATTGCTCAGTTGATGTGTAACATTACTGGCTGCTGTTGATGTGTAACATTACTGGCTGCTGCAATTCTTGGCCTAAGTGTCACAGGGACATTCTTATTGAAATTACCTTTTCTGGGATGTCATTTAGCTGAGGAAAGATTACTTAAAAGTGACCTCTGAAGATTAACCACATTGCTAATGATGAACATTTCTTTAGTGACCATTCACAGCACTACTTCATGTACATGTATCTCAGCAGGACTTTACAGAAGCATTACATTATCCCAGTAAGTTCAACACAAATTGTGTGGTTGGACACTGTATCATGCACAAAGGCAACACTAATTATCACCCAGTCTCTCAGTTACTCAGGAATTGTTTTTAAAAGTTTGCAGATTGTTACAGTTAAGAAAATAAAACAAATGTCAACATGCTGATTGCCAGATTGATTCAGATAACAGTTCACGTTCAGTCATGTTGTCCTGCAGTTATCAGTCATGATGTAGAATTTGCACATATTTTAGATATATTTTTCATGCCGTTACTTACACCATGGATATATATTTACTGTTAAATATATCACAAGCTTCAGATTGGGCTCAAATTTTAATAGTCTAAAGTTTATTTGATTGTTTTTCACCATATTTCAAACTACAGTGTTTCCTTTGCCATGTAATAGCCTTTGGGATAATTTCATAATAGCAACTTAATGAATACCCATTTTTGTTATATAAATTTAGTGTATTACTATAACAAAGAGGGCCGGTGAGGTAGCCGAGTGGTTAAAGCGTTTGCTCATCGTGCCGAAGACCTGGGTTCATACAATGTGTGAAGCCCATTTCTGGTGTCCCCGCCATGATATTGTTGGAATATTGCAAAAAGTGGCATAAAAGTAAACTCACTCACTCACTATAACAATACTGATTATATTTTTGATAATTGTTATGCAGACATTATTAGACTGAGAAAGTAATTGTAAACTCATTATTGGTTGTTTGATTGATAGAATGTTGATAAGCATGTTATTGTTTTGTAGTATTTAAACACATGTTCCTATACGACATAGACATGGAATTTGCAGGATATGTTTCTATATTTGAGAGAAAATTGTTAAAAATCCCAAACCTAAATGTATCCTCCACCTGTTGGGCTAACCTTGTACAATATATCCCGGTAACTGAATGTTGAAAAGTCTTCACACAAATTTATTCTAAAGTGTTTACTTTGTAACTTTTGGTGTTTTTTTTATAAATGATTTGTACTGAAATACATATGGAAGAACAACTAGGTTAGGATGGAAGACAAGCATGACGGATATAAATATATATTGGAATTGCTTTGACTATTTTATTTATGTTATAGTGGTGAATAACAGATGTATGTCTTGTCATATAATGCTAAATGAACAAGCTAAGTCATATGACATCAACACATTGTTTCAATACAGAAACACAGTCCACTGTAATATTCCTTTTGGTAAATCCAGGTTTTCACAGTATAAATGCAGGGGCGGAAATAAGTTTAAAATTGCTAGTGTACTCTGGTACAGTGGCACATGGAAAATCACTTGCCCTGATAATTTGTCCACTATACCGGCCGATTTTCATGTTGAATTTTTAAATAAGCAACATAATTAACATTGGAAAGTCAACTGGTCACCGGTACAGCATGATATACGAATGTGCTTGCCGACAGAAAAAGAACACTGGACTCGGACGTCGTGCAATTGGTTATTTCCACCCCTGAAATGTGTGATATATATTAGTCAATTTTGGATACATAGTTTTCTTTCGCCCCAAGTATAATGTTATTAAATATTGCTTTGCACCAATTATTAGTGATTCAATTATAAAGCCAGATCTAACAAAACAAGGTAAGTTTTGGTAGGTGAGAAAAGGTAGAAGGTTTTAGCTTCTGCAATGTGGCATGCAATAAAGCATGCTCTGAACTGTCATAAGGTTTTCATAGATCAGGGCAAATTATACCTTCTTAACCTTTGATCTTTTGACAGAGCATCTTAGAAATACCAATGTGATCTATCTGAGATACCTACTAAAAAAGAACAAGCAACAACGTCACTAATGTGTTCACATTTTCTCTAATTCATTACAGTTGTTGATAAGACTAGTGCTTAATAAATAATGTTGTAACATGACTCAAGATACATGAACTCAATGAGATGCACGTGGGAGTTTAAGGACTCCATTTCACCATTAAGATATCTAGAATGTAGTATTCTCTTATCATTTCATATAATTTGTGATGGCATCTAAAGGGACATGGTTTCAGTGCTGAAATATATGTTGGAACTAATAGGTTCCCCATCAATAAAACAATGTACACATATATTGTCACTTGTCACCGAGAGAGCTGCAAGACATACATGCTGCCAGGAAAGGGAGTCATGCCCTGTGTATCACAGGGTTCGACAGTAAGGCACGTCTCAATGACATTGTCTAGTAAATAGCCAGTCCAGTCTAGTCCGACTGGTCATTTAGATATTTAATGAATGCTGTTTCAAACCACCATATTTTTTAATTTTCACTTTTAACAATCTTGCACAGCGCCATCTGTTATAATGAGCATTATAAGACTGTTATTTAGCTTATTTAAGTGTAAAAAGATCATAAAAGCTACTCTTTAATGATAAACATTCTTCAAATATTAAGGTATACAGTATTCATAATGGACAAAAGAAAACAACAATTATCAATAGCCAGAACCTGTTTGTTCTAGCCATTGGCATGCGCAGACGGCATCCTGATAGAAGAAATTCAAAATCGTAAAATAGAATATGAGAGCTGTCATCTACAATTTTCTGCACTTTTTTGACAATTTGCTGCTCATAAATAGGCTGATAGATGTTACTGAATCTGTGCCAATGATTTTGTGTGCTGTGATAACAATTTTGTTGAGTTTAGTTTTGTTTTGCACAGACAGGTTACCAAACCAACAAAGTAGGTTAAAAGTTAAAAGTTATATCTGTGTTTTCGTTATAAAGCTTGTTCATTAAAGATATGGTGTACAGGATGCTAATAAATTCGTGTGCCGCAAAGCAACAAGCAAACGTTGAAAAAGGAGTGTTCAGACATGTGTATCATTATGTAGTGTTGATATACAGCTGCAACCTGCCTGATAATATACCCCGTCATTCGGTGTGCATTTTACTCACTCAACATGGAGTGCCTTGTGAAACTCATTTGTGATCAGATAAGACAAATGGATATGAGTTCCCAAAGCATTATATTCTCATCAGAAATGAAAAAATGAGTCAGTCTGAAGGACAATCACGTTTGGAGTTAATGGATATTTTGTGAAAAGTGAAGAACTTATATTCATTAAATTTGCAATTGTGACAAACAGCTGGAATTAGGTTATACATATGAGAGATTCTAATGGCAGTTGGGTGCAGATATTACTCATCATCTCTGTCTGTATTTAGAAACAGAACTGTGCCAGTTATGGGCACTGGAAGGTCTCCAGTAGTGTGCAGGGGGTGCCTTACAGGTCAACCTAGGCATGTGTGTTGTTTGTTTTGTTACCTGGTCTGTGTTGTAGTCTCATCTGGTCATTATGTTACCTGGGTAGTGGGCACCCCATCCTTGGTGTGTGTTATAGTCTCATCTGGTCATTATGTTACCTGGGTAACACCCCAACCTTGGTGTGTGTTATAGTCTCATCTGGTCGTTATGTTACCTGGGTACGGAGCACCCCAACCTTGGTATGTGTTGTAGTCTCATCTGGTCATTATGTTACTTGGGTAGTGAGCACCCCAACCTTGGTGTGTGTTGTAGTCTCATCTGGTCATTTTGTTACCTGGGTAGTGGGCATCCCAGCCTTGGTCTGTGTTGTAGTCTCATCTGGTCATTATGTTACCTGGGTAGTGAGCACCCCAACCTTGGTGTGTGTTGTAGTCTCATCTGGTCATTATGTTACCTGGGTAGTGGGCATCCCAGCCTTGGTGTGTGTTGTAGTCTCATCTGGTCATTATGTTACCTGGGTAGTGGGCATCCCATCCTTGGTCTGTGTTGTAGTCTCATCTGGTCGTTATGTTACCTGGGTAGTGGGCATCCCATCCTTGGTCTGTTGTAGTCTCATCTGGTCATTATGTTACCTGGGTAGTGGGCATCCCAGCCTTGGTCTGTGTTGTAGTCTCATCTGGTCGTTATGTTACCTGGGTAGTGGGCATCCCAGCCTTGGTCTGTGTTGTAGTCTCACCTGGTCATTATGTTACCTGGGTAGTGGGCATCCCATCCTTGGTCTGTGTTATAGTCTCATCTGGTCATTATGTTACCTGGGTAGTGGGCATCCCAACCTTGGTATGTGTTGTAGTCTCATCTGGTCATTATGTTACCTGGGTAGTGAGCATCCCATCCTTGGTCTGTGTTGTAGTCTCATCTGGTCATTATGTTACCTGGGTAGTGGGCATCCCAGCCTTAGTGTGTGTTATAGTCTCATCTGGTCATTATGTTACCTGGGTAGTGGGCACCCCAACCTTGGTGTGTTATAGTCTCATATGGTTGTTATGTTGCTGGGTAGTGGGCATCCCAGCCTTGGTGTGTGTTGTAGTCTCATCTGGTCATTATGTTACCTGGGTAGTGGGCATCCCCACCCTTGGTGTGTGTTATAGTCTCATCTGGTCATTATGTTACCTGGGTAGTGGGCATCCCATCCTTGGTGTGTGTTATAGTCTCATCTGGTCATTATGTTACCTGGGTAGTGGGCATCCCAGCCTTGGTCTGTTATAGTCTCATCTGGTCATTATGTTACCTGGGTAGTGGGCATCCCATCCTTGGTCTGTGTTGTAGTCTCATCTGGTCGTTATGTTACCTGGGTAGTGGGTATCCCATCCTTGGTCTGTGTTGTAGTCTCACCTGGTCATTATGTTACCTGGGTAGTGGGCATCCCAACCTTGGTGTGTGTTGTAGTCTCATCTGGTCATTATTTTGCTTGGGTAGTGGTCATCCCATCCTAGGTGTGTGTTGTAGTCTCATCTGGTCATTATGTTACCTGGGTAGTGGGCATCCCATCCTTGGTCTGTGTTGTAGTCTCATCTGGTCATTATGTTACCTGGGTAGTGGGCATCCCAACCTTGGTGTGTGTTGTAGTCTCATCTGGTCATTATGTTACCTGGGTAGTGGGCACCCCAACCTTGGTGTGTTATAGTCTCATCTAGTCGTTATGTTGCTGGGTAGTGGGCATCCCAGCCTTGGTCTGTGTTGTAGTCTCATCTGGTCATTATGTTACCTGGGTAGTGGGCATCCCATCCTTGGTCTGTGTTGTAGTCTCATCTGGTCGTTATGTTACCTGGGTAGTGGGCATCCCATCCCTGGTCTGTGTTGTAGTCTCATCTGGTCATTATGTTACCTGGGTAGTGGGCATCCCAACCTTGGTGTGTGTTGTAGTCTCATCTGGTCATTATGTTACCTGGGTAGTGGGCACCCCAACCTTGGTCTGTTATAGTCTCATCTGGTCGTTATGTTACCTGGGTAGTGGGCATCCCATCCTTGGTGTGTGTTGTAGTCTCATCTGGTCATTATGTTACCTGGGTAGTGGGCATCCCATCCTTGGTGTGTGTTATAGTCTCATCTGGTCATTATGTTACCTGGGTAGTGGGCATCCCAACCTTGGTGTGTATTATAGTGTCATCTGGTCATTATGTTACCTGGGTAGTGGGCATCCCAACCTTGGTGTGTGTTATAGTCTCATCTGGTCATTATGTTACCTGGGTAGTGGGCATCCCATCCTTGGTGTGTGTTATAGTCTCATCTGGTCATTATGTTACCTGGGTAGTGGGCATCCCAACCTTGGTGTGTGTTGTAGTCTCATCTGGTCATTATGTTACCTGGGTAGTGGGCATCCCAACCTTGGTGTGTATTATAGTGTCATCTGGTCATTATGTTACCTGGGTAGTGGGCATCCCAACCTTGGTGTGTGTTATAGTCTCATCTGGTCATTATGTTACCTGGGGCTCCTTTCACGAAGCAATCTTTACTAAGGTTAACCTTAACTCCCATTCTTTAATATTGCACTAAGGTTACCTTCGTGACTTACGATCACCTTAGTGCTTTGTGAAAGGAGGCCCTGATCTTTGTTATGGGGAACAACTGTTCTTACCTATACATTAGTAAATAGCACAACATGCATTGCTGGGAAGAGCTTGCTAGGCCTAGAAATGTTTGACCTGACTGCTGATGATTGATCACTGACTCCAATGGATGACTGACTGGCTCAATTATATGACTGGCTGGCTCTATTGTATGACTGGCTGGCTCTAATGTATGACTGGCTCTAATGTGTGACTGACTGGCTGTAATGTATGGCTGACTGGCTGGCTCTAATGTATGACTGACTGGCTGGCTCTAATGTATTATCTAATGGATGGATGACTGACTTACTCTAATGGATGACTGACTGGCTGTAATGTATGACTGGCTGTAATGTATGACTGACTGGCTCCAATGGATGAGTGACTGGCTCTAATGTATGACTGGCTCTAGTGGATGACTGGCTGGCTCTAATGTATGACTGACTGGCTCTAATGTATGACTGACTGGCTTCAATGGATGAGTGACTGGCTCTAATGTATGACTGGCTCTAATGGATGACTGACTGGCTCTATCGTATAACTGGCTCTAATGTATGACTGACTCTAATGGATGACTCACTGGCTCTAATGGATGGCTAGCTCTATTGGATGACTGACTAGCTCTAATGAATAACTGACTCTAATATATGACTGACTGACTCTAATGGATGATTGACTGGCTCTAATGGCTGACTGACTCTAATTTCTGACTGATGCTGATGGATGACTGACTCTAATGGATGACTGATTAATTTATGACTGACTCTAACAGATGACTGACTCTAATGGATGACTGATTAATTTATGACTGACTCTAACGGATGACTGACTCTAATGGATGTTTCTGTGTCAGATATGGACAAGGAAGATGCCCTGGTCTGTTTCGAGGACCACATCCGCATGTTGGAGCAGGAGTATGATGACGAGCGGGAGCGGGAGAGACGGAGGATGAAGCGACAGCAACGCAAGAACAGGGAGAGCTTTGTGGTAGGTGACTTTTGCCAAGTATTTCTGACACATGGGGGCATCATAAAGTACTCCACAAAGTAGAAATTATGTTTAACCCATTCAACACCGCAGATGCCATTGTCACAACAAAATGATTTATATTTTTAGGAACCTACCTGCCATGAGACTCATTTATTAAATCTTTCACTTTTCACACTGTCAGAAAACATGTTACATTTCAATTCACTAAATTTTGTCTACAGACTTCAAATTATTAATAATTTTTCACAATTTTACTGAAAAATCAATTCTTATACACATGCTTTGGCAATGCGTCCACGTCGGAATTGTCAAAGAACAAAATATAGATGTTTTGAACCTCCAAAATTATGAATAAAATAAAGTAATAGTTAAAATCAAACTTACAACTATGTTTGTATTTTCATCTATTTGTTCTATTCGCATCAAATGTTGCCTCATTTTTTTTGCTCAGACACAATGTTTAATGTGAAAATATATGCATGGGAAGCTTTTTCCACAGGTCGCAACCTAGTACAATACGTCCATGATGTTCAATATTTTAAGTATTGGTTGCAATTTCCTGCAACATTTAACCAAAAACATTTATCTAAATCTAGAAGTTATTGTACACAAGGATGGTATCCATTTCTGTAATATGTTTGGCTGCCTAAGGTCACATACTTGATTTTTACCAATCATGATTCTTAAGGCAAATTCTGGCAAATAATAGCATCATTAGAAAACAATCTTTATCCAATAAAATCACTTGTTACAACAGCAAAAATACGCCTATATTATCGATGTTCAGAGCTTTCAAACAATACCCAACATCAATCAGATCTTCTCAAGTGTTATTCATACAAAGCTTAGAAAGTGGAGGTATTTCTCAGTGTTGTCTCATTTTACCAAGTGGAGAGCCACTGTTATTGGGGAAAAGGACACCATACATATTATTAACAAAATCTTTTTATTACATTATGTGAACATGAAAATATAATGAGAAATAGTTGAGAATATAGTTGAGCAACAATCGCAATAATGTTTGCTTCCTCTATATCTGGACATTGTGAATGTGTGAGCTTTCATTTTCATTAAAGTAAACTTATTTCAGTTGAATAGTTGTATTATTTGAATAATATGATAGGTTGAAGTTTAACATCAACAGTAACATCAGTTGTAACATCAATAGTTCCATAATAGTCGTGTTTGAGTTGAAGTTTAACATCAACAGTAACATCAGTTGTAACATTAATAGTTCCATAATAGTCATGTTTGAATTGAAGTTTAACATCAACAATAACATCAGCATTCTCTTCCCACAGAGGTTACTCCTGTCATATCTTCCTACGTAACCTCTGTTCTAATACGGCCATATTTCCCGGTTCTCGTAAAATCCCCTAGCGGCAAAAGATCGCAACACGAATTATCTCCCTTCTTTCCATCCAATCAGAAAGCCTGTTACATCGACTTAGATTCAACTTAACTAACACAAGCAAATGTGGGGCCACAAATATCCCCCATCTGCCGGGGACTTGTGTTGATGTTACACACAAAACGTTTAATGGCTAGCTTGTCAGTTGTCAACGAGGGCGATGGAGACGCCACTGATCCGCCATAACATAACTGAGTTCTGTCTAGAAGAAACGTTTGCGCATCGCGCAGGGGAAGAAGTTTAGTTTTCTCGAAGCATACGGAAATTACCGAGGCCTTGCGAATGATCACTTTTGAAACAACGTTGCTGATTGCACAACTAAATCTGATTGTCTCCAATCACGAGTCTTGAACGCTCACACCATGAAAGGGCCGTATTAGAACAGAGGTTACGTAGGAAGATATGACAGGAGTAACCTCTGTGGGAAGAGAATGTAACATCAGTTGTAACATCAATAGTTCCATAATAGTCGTGTTTGAGTTGAAGTTTAACATCAACAGTAACATCAGTTGTAACATCAGTAGTTCAATAATAGTCGTGTTTGAGTTGAAGTTTAACATCAACAGTAACATCAGTTGTAACATCAGTAGTTCCATAATAGTCGTGTTTGAGTTGAAGTTTAACATCAACAGTAACATCAATAGTATCATCAGGCCTTTATGCACCCACACATGTTTAGAGTTACCGTGTCATGATTGGGTTAGGGTGACACACTTTCTGTCTGTTGTCAACCTATCAGTCCAGATATAATGTATATTTTAGTTTGTTCATTGTAATTCCTGCATCCTAATCACCCGAATTGGTCAAGTGTTTTTGCATTGCTTTCCCTATGAATATAAAAAAACCTGTCCACTCAGAAAGATAGGGACTATTTTCTTCATGCTAAACCGTAAGTCTGGGAATATTCCTATTTCATCTGTATCAAGATGAAGTTACCAGGTCTACATGTTATCATTTAAGCGTGTTTTTCATTGTCAAATATTACTTTTATGAAGCAATGAATACCCAAATTGGCAATGTAGGCCAAGATGCACCACCTGCCCAACCTTGTCTATAGGCCTAGATGTCCCACCTGCCCTGCCCCTTGTCTGTAGACCTAGATGTCACACCTGCCCCACCCTGTCTGTAGGCCTAGATGTCCCACCTGCCCCACCTTGTCTGTAGGCCTAGATGCACCACCTGCCCCAACCTTGTCTGTAGGCCTAGATGTCCCACCTGCCCCACCCTGTCTGTAGGCCTAGATGTCCCACCTGCCCCACCTTGTCTGTAGGCCTAGATGCACCACCTGCCCCACCTTGTCTGTAGGCCTAGATGTCCCACCTGCCCCACCTGTAGGCCTAAGATTTTGCTCCATGTCTGGGCTCAGATGTCCCACCTGCCCCCACCCTGCCTGTAGGCCTAGATGCACCACCTGCCCCACCCTGTCTGTAGGCCCCAGATGTTCCACCTTGTCTGTAGGGCCCAGATGCACCCCTCTCCTGCCTGTAGGCCTAGATGTCCTTCCTGTCCCACCTTGTCTATGGGCCTAGATGTCCCACCTGCCCCACCTTGTCTGTAGGCCTAGTTGTCCCACCTGCCCCACCCTGTCTGTAGGCCTAGATGTTCCACCTTCCCCTCCCTGCCTGTAGGCCTAGATGTCCTTCCTGTCCCACCTTGTCTATGGGCCTAGATGTCCCACCTGCTCCACCTTGTCTGTAAGCCTAGTTGTCCCACCTGCCCCACCCTGTCTGTAGGCCTAGATGTTCCACCTTCCCCTCCCTGCCTGTAGGCCTAGATGTCCTTCCTGTCCCACCTTGTCTATGGGCCTAGATGTGCCACCTGCCCCACCTTGTCTGTAGGCCTAGTTGTCCCACCTGCCCCACCCTGTCTGTAGGCCTAGATGTCCCACCTGCCCCCACCTTGTCTGTAGGCCTAGATGTCCCACCTACCCCACCCTGTCTGTAGGCCTAGTTGTCCCACCTGCCCCACCCTGTCTGTAAGCCTAGATGTCCCACCTGCCCCACCCTGTCTGTAGGCTAGATGCACCACCTGCCCCACCCTGTCTGTAGGCCTAGATGTCCCACCTGCCCCCACCTTGTCTGTAAGCCTAGATGTCCCACCTGCCTCACCCTGTCTGTAGGCCTAGATGTCCCACCTGCCCCACCTTGTCTGTAGGCCTAGTTGTCCCACCTGCGTTACCCTGTCTGTAGGCCTAGATGCAACACCTGCCCCACCTTGTCTGTAGGCCTAGATGCCCCACCTGCCCCACCTTGTCTGTAGGCCTAGTTGTCCTACCTGCCTTACCCTGTCTGTAGGCCTAGATGCACCACCTGCCCCACCCTGTGTGTAGGCCTGGATGCACCACCTGCCCCACCTTGTCTGTAAGCCTAGATGTCCCACCTACCCCACCCTGTCTGTAAACCAAGATGTCCCCCCTGCCCCACGCTGACTGTAGGCCAAGATGTCCCACCTGCCCCACCTTGTCTATAGCCTAGATGTCCCACCTGCCCCACTCTGTAGGCCTAGATGTCCCACCTTCCCCTCCCTGCCTGTAGGCCTAGATGTCCTTCCTGTCCCACCTTGTCTATGGGCCTAGATGTCCCACCTGCCCCACCTTGTCTGTAGGCCTAGATGTCCCACCTGCCCCCACCCTGTCTGTAGGCCTAGATGTCCCACCTGCCCCACCTTGTCTGTGGGCCTAGATGTCCCACCTGCCCCACCTTGTCTGTAGGCCTAGATGTCCCACCTGCCCCACCCTGTCTGTAGGCCTAGATGTCCCACCTGCCCCACCCTGTCTGTAGGCCTAGATGCACCACCTGCCCCACCCTGCCTGTAGGCCTAGATGTCCAACCTGCCCCACCTTGTCTGTTAGCCTAGATGTCCCACCTACCCCACCCTGTCTGTAGGCCAAGATGCACCACCTGCCCCACCCTGTCTGTAGGCCTAGATGCACCACCTGCCCCACCCTGTCTGTAGGCCTAGATGTCCCACCTGCCCCCACCTTGTCTGTAAGCCTATATGTCCCACCTACCCCACCCTGTCTGTAGGCCTAGATGTCCCACCTGCCCCACCTTGTCTGTAGGCCTAGATGCACCACCTGCCCCACCCTGTCTATAGGCCTAGATGTCCAACCTGCCCCACCTTGTCTGTTAGCTTAGATGTCCCACCTACCCCACCCTGTCTGTAGGCCAAGATGCACCACCTGCCCCACCTTGTCTATGGGCCTAGATGTCCCACCTGCCCCACCCTGTCTGTAGGCCAAGATGTCCCACCTGCCCCAGTCTGCCTGTAGGCCTAGATGTCCCGCCTTCCCCTCCCTGCCTGTAGGCCTAGATGTCTTTCCTGTCCCACCTTGTCTGTAGGCCTAGATGTCCCACCTGCCCCACCTTGTCTGTAGGCCTAGATGTCCCACCTATCCCTCCCTGCCTGTAGGCCTAGATGTCCTTCCTGTCCCACCTTGTCTATGGGCCTAGATGTGCCACCTGCCCCACCTTGTCTGTAGGCCAAGATTTCCCACCTGCCCCAGTCTGTCTGTAGGCCTAGATGTCCCTCCCTCCTGCCTGTAGGCCTAGATGTCCTTCCTGTCCCACCTTGTCTGTAGGCCTAGATGTCCCACCTGCCCCACCTTGTCTGTAGGCCTAGATGTCCCACCTGCCCCACCTTGTCTGTAGGCCTAGATGCACCACCTGCCCCACCCTGTCTGTAGGCCTAGATGTCTTCCCCACCACCCTGTCTCTAATCATTTCATAGTTTTACCCTCTCATCCTCCATCATGCTTTCATGCCTTCAAAAGCATTATACAACTTTTCAACATATTTTGTAATTCTGGAAGAGCATGATCACATTAGACCTTCTATACACATTAAGCTCACATGCTGTGATATAAATGAAATACTTTTCAAAGCAACTGAAAACCAACTCACTTGTTGCAACTTCTGCTAGCAAGTCACATCAGTCAGTGTAACTGTTGAATTAGACTCCATCACGCAATAGAACCCTTACTTGTACAGAAGTGTTACAGTGCCGTTTTTTACCATTGATTGGTACAAGAATGGTGTTACTCAGTCACATGTACAACAAATCAATAAGTCCAAAAGACAGTTCTAATTATTCCAAAAAATACTCTCTGTCGTCTTCATAGACACATTCAAGTCACAGAAGAGGAGAATCTTCTCATCCTTTCAGGAGACAAAAAACTTCTATAAATTTGAAGCATGCCAGGCCTGATGACAGTGTTATGTGTGTAATCACTATAATTGTTGCACTCGCTTCCTGCATCTGTAGATGCCGTCAGATTAGATATGCGGTGGTGCATGAACAAAGAAGAGGGACAGAATTGAATTATCTCAAGCTGCACCTGCTCATGTAATTAAAGAAAGACGGTCCTGGTGTTGTCTTGTACAGTCGTGTGGTACCAGGTCATGCTAGCATGTTGGAGGCAGACTGCCTGTGATATACACCACTCCCTTGCTCCTCCATCACACCTCAGTGTGGCCCTGTCTCACACTGGGACTCACACTGCTTCATACCCGCCAACAGTCTTTTCGTTTTCTTCAGTCTGGCCAGATCTTGTCAACTGATACAAGTTTGCATGTAAACCAATGGTTTTGAAAGAAACATTTGTGAAAAACCTATTCAGCAAGTTTTTCATGAAATAGGCAACAGAAACTCTGTGGCCTGTAAGATTTAACAGCTGCAGGCCTACCATACAAACGGTGAACAAATCATCAAAACTGAACTCATATACACCAAAACAGAACAAAAACCACCAAAACTGCAACAATATCCTCTAAAACCAAAACAATACATCTGTAATGGAAGACAAATCGTTTGAAATGGAAACAAAACTCTCGTATCAGCTACAAGAGCGCGTGAGAACGGTCGCCGCGCGTACAAAACGGCATTCATAGCATCCCAACACGGCAGTCATAGCATCCCGAAACGGCATACAAATCGTCAAAGATGGCGGCGAGGGGAGACGAATAGGCTTTGGTACATAATTGTTTTTCGTCACTATGAGTCTAATCTTGAAAATTTGATATCGGGATGTAGTGCATAAACCCCCTATTGTAGTAAGCTTCAAACCTATGTCCATACTTCTCAGTGTCAGGCTTGCAATTCTGCACAATGTGGTCTCTCCTTTGACCGAATAGGATTTCTTGTCAACATGCTGTGGTCCTGTTTCTGTTCAGTTTTGTATATAAAGTGTTCATAGCGTCACATTCAACATTACTATATTTTAGTGATTTAAAAAGTTTACAAAACTTACATAGAGGTTCTCTTGGATGAGCTGCACGGCCAGGGCAAGCTTAACTCCATGTGTCTGTTGTGGTTACATTTGACATGACATGTAGATTCTCCTGTTGTGGTTACATTTGACATGACATGCAGATTCTCCTGTTGTGGTTACATTTGACATGACATGTAGATTCTCCTGTTGTGGTTACATTTGACATGACATGTAGGTTCTCCTGTTGTGGTTACATTTGATATGAAATGTAGGTTCTCCTGTTGTAGTTACATTTGACATGACATGCAGATTCTCCTGTTGTGGTTACATCTGACATGACATGTAGATTCTCCTGTTGTGGTTACATTTGACATGACATGTAGGTTCTCCTGTTGTAGTTACATTTGACATGATCTGTGTTGACATGCAGGTTCTCCTGTTCTAGTTTCATTTGACATGCCCTGTGTTGACATGTAGATTCTCCTGTTGTGGTTACATTGGACATGACATGTAGGTTCTCCTGTTGTGGTTACATTTGACATGACATGTAGGTTCTCCTGTTGTAGTTACATTTGACATGACATGTAGGGTCTCCTGTTGTGGTTACATTTGACATGACATGTAGGCTCCCCTGTTGTGGTTACATTTGACATGACCTGTGTTGACATGCAGGTTCTCCTGTTCTAGTTACATTTGACATGACATGTACGTTCTCCTGTTGTGGTTACATTTGACATGACATCTAGGTTCTCCTGTTGTGGTTACATTTGACATGACATGTAGATTCTCCTGTTGTAGTTACATTTGACATGACATGTGTTGACATGCAGGTTCTCCTGTTGTGGTTACATTTGACATGACATGTAGGTTCTCCTGTTGTAGTTACATTTGACATGACATGTAGGTTCTCCTGTTGTAGTTACATTTGACATGACATGTAGGTTCTCCTGTTGTGGTTACATTTGACATGACATATAGGTTCTTCTGTTGTGGTTAAATTTGACATGACCTGTGTTGACATGTAGGTTCTCCTGTTGTGGTTACATTTGACATGACATGTAGGTTCTCCTGTTGTGGTTACATTTGACATGACATGTGTTGACATGTAGGTTCTCCTGTTCTAGTTACATTTGACATGACATGTACGTTCTCCTGTTGTGGTTACATTTGACATGACATGTAGGTTCTCCTGTTGTAGTTACATTTGACATGACATGTAGGTTCTCCTGTTGTGGTTACATTTGACATGTCATGTAGGTTCTCCAGTTGTGGTTACATTTGACATGACATGTAGGTTCTCCTGTTGTGGTTACATTTGACATGTCCTGTGTTGACATGTAGGTTCTCCTGGATGAGCTGCACGACCAGGGCAAACTCAACTCCATGTGTCTGTTGTGGTTACATTTGACATGACCTGTGTTGACATGTAGGTTCTCCTGGATGAGCTGCACGACCAGGGCAAACTCAACTCCATGTCTCTGTGGATGGACCTGTATCCCATCATTAGTCAAGACCTGCGCTTCACCATGATGCTTGGCCAGCCAGGCTCCACACCACTTGACCTCTTCAAGTTCTATGTTGAGGACCTCAAGGCCCGCTTCCATGATGAGAAGAAGATAGTGAAGGAGATACTCCGGGTAAGTGCAGTGCACACTCGCAAAATCTTCAGAGATATGAAGTCAATCTTTTTCTTGAAGTCCTTGGGACTAGTGAGGATATTTTGGTAGAACTTTCTCTTTTAAATAAAAGGATATTCCACCACTGATCATGAAATCACAACATTTCCAGATTGGCCTTCCCTATATTACATAGCTTTGAAATATATTAATGAGAGTCAATCACAAAATAGTGCTGCCTATAAGAAATGCCATTGACCTCAAACACATGTGATACATATGAAGTTGATGTCCCAGGCAAACAATCAGCAAGGTAGGCAGCAGTCCCTTGGTCGGTGCCATCAGGATTAGTGACATAGTCTGTGAAATGATAGAACAGTATCTGCCTAGAAACTACTTAGATGTCTGGATGTTTATTCAAACAAACAATCAGGATGGCCATCACAGCTGTGCTTACATTAACCAGAATAGTAGACTCAGTGAGGTAAAATTACCATTTATATTATGTCAGTGACCAGGAAAATACATGGACTTCTCGGATACACTTACACACAATTAACTTTCAGAGTCAGACGTCTAGACTGGTCTTTAGTCTTGTTATGTCTTGCTCGTGATTTCACAGCATCATTTCACAGATCATGGTCCCAAATTATCCATCGTTCTACTTTGTTTAGTTTATGTCCTAATACAAAGGTTTTTATATGTGTGTATCTTTCACAAATTTGCTGTATATTATTTCATACACTGTGCTTATTTGAAAACAGGAGAAGGGTTTTGTGGTGGAGGTCAGCACGACATATGATGACTTTGCATCTGTCATCAGCAGCGACAGGCGGGCCGTCAGCCTCGACACCGGCAACATCAAGCTCACCTACAATAGTGTACGTATCACAGGACACAGAATGTTATTTCATGAGCATCATAACTTTGGCAGATTCATTTAGTCAGTGGCTGTCTTGGTTCAGGAGCAAACTTGCTCTTCACAATGTCTAAATCACAGGTCTGTGCCAATATTGATTTGAATCTTTGTCGACCTGTCAGTGCTATATCTGTGTTTCAGCCAAATACCTACGAACCTGACACTTTGGGTGTTGCTCATGAAGTTGATAAGCTGTGAAATTCGGAAATACTTTTCAAAGGTCTGTTAGAATAATCTTGCACTCCTTTAAATGATACCTTGATTGAACTACAGGTGAAATGATCCTGTTTCTGTGTTGCAGCTGATTGAGAAGGCAGAGGCTCGGGAGAAGGAGAGACTGAAGGATGAGGCCAGGAAGGTATGCGTCTTACCTTTCCACTCATACGGTTACAGCAGGTGGCATTGGGGATACTTTTGAAGAAACTAACATTTCATGTATTTATCACATGTTTTGTTTATTAATATATACTGAGTCAAAAAAGAAACTTCACATTCTTTCTTCAAGGCACTATAAAAGAACAAGAGATGGTAAGATGGTTAAATTGTTATTATTTCATTGCTGAGATCTGTGTGATGTACTCGATACACTGACAGTGCCATAATCAGTTCCATTAGGCTACACCGCCGTTCCAAAACATGGGTATACAGAATGTCAAGTCACAAGAATAAAAATGCGAAATTTCTCAGTTCAATATCGTGTATGGCCACCCTGCGCATTCACCACTGCCAAACACCGTCTCCTCATCGACTGCCTGATGCTTGTGAACACGTGGTTGGGGATTCTGCGCCATTGCTCTTGCAAGGCAGCGCCAAGTTCCTGCAAATTCTGAGGTTGGTTCCTAAGACCACGAAGCCTTCTCCCAAGTGCATCCCAAACGTGCTCTATTGGATTAAGGTCAGGGGACCTCGATGGCCAGTCCATGACGTTGATTCCAGCATTTTGAAGGAAATTTCGTGTCAACATCGCGGTATGCGGCCGAGCATTTTCATGCTGGAACTGTAGACCTGGGCCATGAGCCGCCATGAAAGGAATGAGTTCAGGGGTGAGCACCTGGTTGCGGTAAGCAGCAGCTGTGAAGTTTCCACGGATGACCAGAAGTCGGGAACGGTTGTTCCCACAGAAAGCACCCCACACCATGCAACTTCCGCCCCCGATTTTGTCGACTTCCTGTACACAACATTGGGCATACCGTTCACGACGTCGTCTCCAGACTCTATGCCTGCCGTCCGCGAATCTGAGGGTAAACCTGGATTCATCGCTAAGGACGACTCAATTCCAGTCTCTCTGGGTCCATCGGGGTGGCGTTGGGCCCACAGCAGGCGTTGGCGTTGATGAAAGCGGCGTCAATATTGGCCCACGATATGGACGTCGAGAATGGAGATTGGCAGCCCATAACCCGATTTCGAATGGTCTGTGAGGACAGTTGACCTCTAAACATCTCAGCCCTGGTTCGTGTAGCGGCAGAAATCTGTCACGTAGGTGACGTAGGGACGATTTCACGGTCTTCTGCTCGTGGGCGACCCGACCTTAGGCGGTCAGAAGTGGTGCCAGTTTGTTTTAGGCGACCTGCGCCAAGTCATACACAGTACGACGGCTGCATCCCATTGCTCTTGCGGCGTCAATAACTGATCTTCCCGCTTGCAACATGCCAGCGGCTTGCGTTCCGTTGCACATTTGACAATCGTGGCATTTCAAAGTACCGTTAGAACTGTGGTTTAAAAGTGTTTTTTCAATTCTTGAGGCCAATGCAAACACGTGCATATGAAGAAAACTTCGATGCGAAGATCACGTGATCGACTGCACGTGCAAAACCTGATTTGGCACTAACGTCATTTGCACGACGAATGGTTGGGTTTGAGTGGGTTTTGCTAACGTTTTTCTAGAGTCGAAAGATAGGGATCCCATTTCGGATACATAGATGTATCATCACAGGAAAATTATTCATTATTTTTCAAATTACATTTTGTGAAGTATCTTTTTTGACTCAGTATAGAATATATTTTTCAACCACATACACCAAAGAAACCACAGCCACAAATTTCTGCAGTGTTGCTGTTTCTGCTTTAAACAATATTCACCCACAGGGTAATCCAAGGGTAGACTAGCTTCCCAAGATGGGTTAGCTAATACTGGTCAGAACTTTTCACACTTGTAACATATATGGGATTTTCTTTGAATGTGGTGTTAATTTTTCTGAATAGCCTTGTGTGACAGGTATGTGAGTCAGTCTGACACTGTACATACTGTGTCTACAGCTGAAGCGACTGGAGGGATCCTTCAAGACTCTGTTGAAGCAACTGTCTCCTCCCATAGATCTGGACACCAAGTGGGACGATGTAAGTACCTGCTGTCATGTCTTCACACAGCTGCCTTTTCCACTACCTTTACCTGTGTCTACTAGCAACTCTACCAACACCAGTGTCTGTAGACAACACTACCTAAACCTGTGTGATGACAACACTACCTACACCTGTGTGATGACAACACTACCTACACCTGTGTGTTAGCAACACTATCTACACCTGTGTGTTAGCAACACTATCTACACCTGTGTGTTAGCAACACTATCTACACCTGTGTCTACCTGTGTCATGGCAATGCTACCTACACCTGCATCTAGCTGGCAACACTACCCACACCTGCATCTAGCTGGCAACATTACCCACACCTGTGTCTGGCTGGCAACACTACCCACACCTGTGTCTGGCTGGCAACACTACCTACACCTGTGTCTGGCTGGCAACACTACCCACACCTGTGTCTGGCTGGCAACACTACCTACACCTGTGTCTAGCTGGCAACACTATCCACACCTGCATCTAGCTGGCAACACTACCTACAGCTGTGTCTTGCTGGCAACATTACACCTGTGTCTAGCTGGCAACACTACCCACACCTGTGTCTTGCTGGCAACATTACCCACATGTGTGTCTACCAGGCAACACTACCCACACCTGTGTCTACCTGGCAACATTACCCACAGCTGTGTCTTGCTGGCAACATTACCCACACCTGTGTCTTGCTGGCAACACTATCCACACCTGCATCTAGTGGGCAACACTACCCACACCTGCATCTACCTGGCAACACTACCTACACCTGTGTCTAGCTGGCAACACTACCTACACCTGTGTCTTGCTGGCAACACTATCCACACCCGTGTCTTGCTGGCAACACTATCCACACCTGTGTCTAGCTGGCAACACTATCCACACCTGTGTCTAACTGGCATCACTACCCACACATGTGTGTAGCTGGCAGCAGTACCTACACCTGTGTCTTGCTGGCAACACTATCCACACCTGTGTCTTGCTGGCAACACTACCTACACATGTGTCTACCTGGCAACACTACCTACAGCTGTGTCTTGCTGGCAACACTACCTACACCTGTGTCTTGTTAGCAACACTATCCACACCTGTATGTAGCTGGCGACATTACCCACACCTGTGTCTAACTGGCAACACTACCTACACCTGTGCCTACCTGGCAACACTACCCACACCTGTGTCTACCTGGCAACACTACCTACACCTGTGTCTTGCTGGCAACACTATCCACACCTGTGTCTAGCTGGCAACACTATCCACACCTGTGTCTAACTGGCATCACTACCCACACATGTGTGTAGCTGGCAGCAGTACCTACACCTGTGTCTTGCTGGCAACACTACCTATACCTTCGTCTAGTTGGCAACACTATCCACACCTGTGTCTTGCTGGCAACACTACCTACACCTGTGTCTAACTGGAAGCACTACCCACACCTGTATGTAGCTGGCATCACTACCTACACCTGTGTCTATCTGGCAACACTACCTACACCTGTGTTTTGCTGGCAACACTACCTATACCTGTGTCTACCTGGCAACACTACCAACACCTGTGTCTTGCTGGCAACACTACCTGCATCTGTGTCTAGCTGGCAACACTACCCACACCTGTGTCTTGCTGGCAACATTACCCACACATGTTTTTAACTGGCAACATTACCCACACATGTGCCTACCTGGCAACACTACCCGAACCTGTGTCTTGTTGGCAACACTATCCACACCTGTATGTAGCTGGCAACATTACCCACACATGTGCCTACCTGGCAACACTACCTACACCTGTGTCTTGTTGGCAACACTATCCACACCTGTATGTAGCTGGCGACATTACCCACACCTGTGTCTAACTGGCAACACTACCTACACCTGTGCCTACCTGGCAACACTACCCACACCTGTGTCTACCTGGCAACACTACCTACACCTGTGTCTTGCTGGCAACACTATCCACACCTGTGTCCAGCTGGCAACACTATCCACACCTGTGTCTAACTGACATCACTAACCACACATGTATGTAGCTGGCAGCACTACCTACACCTGTGTCTAGCTGGCAACACTACCTACACCTTCGTCTAGTTGGAAACACTACCCACACCTGTGTCTAGCTGGCAACACTACCCACACCTGTGTCTAGCTGGCAACACTACCTACACCTGTGTCTAACTGGAAGCACAACCCACACCTGTATGTAGCTGGCATCACTACCTACACCTGTGTCTATCTGGCAACACTACCTACACCTGTGTTTTGCTGGCAACACTACCTATATCTGTGTCTGCCTGGCAACACTTCCAACACCTGTGTCTTGCTGGCAAGACTACCTACATCTGTGTTTTACTGGCAACACTACCCATACCTGTGTCTACCTGGCAACACTACCAACACCTGTGTCTTGCTGGCAAGACTACCTACATCTGTGCCAAGCTGGCAACACTACCTAGACCACTGTGATGGCAACACTACTTACACTAGTTATTAATCTCAGAATAAAATATCCATATGTTCCTTTAAAGTGAATATCTGTTAGATTCATCGATTCAACGTGAACTTAAGGTAAACATTAGGACTGGATAGGGATTTCACATTATGGATCTCTAAATCTCTCACATGCTAATCAAAGAAATTATATTGATTCATGGCAGAGGAAAATGTCTTTGTTCCAGATAAGATCAAAGTTAGAACATGAGGCAGCGTTTGAGGCAATCACTCTAGAGTCTGAACGAATGCGACTGTTTAGGGAGTATGTGATTGCCTATGAGGAGACATGCGGGCACCACCATGCAAAGAGGAAGAAATCAAAGAAACACAAGGTCAAGAGGTCAAGGTCAAGATCACATTCTGTAAGTTTGTACATACATTTAATTATTAAACTACATTTAATTCATCTTTGATTCATGACTTCATTTTGTGATGGAACTTGTTTTGTTTAATCAGAGTGATTCAGAAGAAGAAGAAAGAAGACACAAAGCTAAAAAGAAGAAGAAATCACGGTCTGAGTCAAGGTCTCCCAGTCCTGGAACACCTTCAGATAGAGGTAATGTTTGGTTAGCACGTCAGTCAGCAATATTCCAGTTAATTTGATACAGTCTATAAATAATGAAGTCTAGCCCAGACAATCCAGTGATTGAGATTATGGAGACAATCCATGCTGTGAGATCAGATCCCCCAAACGATGAACCAAGTCACCATGTCTCACCACATGTCATCTACATGACAAAGATAGGTTGCTGGAAACCAGTCCAATCCCAATGGGATGAAAGATGGTAGTAGTTAGAATCTCATTGTCTGGAGACTTGTGTTTCATCTATCATTCATGTTGTTGATTCATGTGAAAAAGAACTGCTGCCAATTTGTTGAACTCTCAACAGACTCATTTCTGTCAAATTCTGTGGACATTTGCAAGTTAATGCTAACAGAGTTGACCATCCTAGGTTCCTATGTTTATGTGGACAAATGATTTAGAAGAAAACAAGTTGTACCTGTGCATGGAAATAATATGTCTTATCCTTCTTCCTCAGTTGTGTTATAGTGTCAGTTTGCATTTTGTTCTTGTAGAGTATGAGCCTGAACGGACATCCAAGAAACACAAGAAAAAGAAGAAGAAGAAGCACATCTCCAGATCTGTAAGTTTCCACACCATACTGTTGACACAGATGTCTGCTTATAATTGTGTAACCTAATTATCCCCCGCCGCACATTTAGCGTGAAGCGGGGGATATAGTATTAGGCTCCATCCATATGTAAGTACGAATTGGAACATCTTAAGAACCGTTGACTAGATTCTTTTCAAGTTTGTTACCTAGGTTCATCGCAGTATGGACCGCCTCCGTTGTGTAGTGGTTAGAGCGTCCACCCGGAGAGCGGAAGGTCGCGGGTTCAATGCCCGACCGCATCATACCAAAAGACGTTAAAATATGGTACTTGTTGGTCCCTGCCTGGCGTTCTGCATTAATGGGTACAACAAGGACTGGTCAGGTCGGAGTCAGTGTAATGTGTCTGAGTGGGGTATTCATGCTTCACTGCGGCATGGTATCTCAGTGGGCTAGCACTATAAAACCAGCTTAAGTCTGGGCTAGTACAAGAAGCCGCACATGCACATACACACGCATGCATGCACGTCGTCATATGAGCGAAATATTCTCAAGCACGACGTTAAACCCAATTTCACCTCACCTCACCTCATCAGAGTATGCGACTCTTTGAAGATTTCAGCATGTAAACCTGCTTGTGAAGCTTATCAGCAAGATACATCAAGAACCATTCTTTAAATTTTCATCATATTTGACACCAAGCTTCATCTAGGGGAGGCACAAGGCCCAATCAATTTTGGTGACCTTCACATAATTTTCAAGGTCACAGCAATACTTTGAAGATTTCAGCATGTTAAGTTTGTCAGCAAGATATCTGAAGAACAGTTCACTGGATTTTCTTCATAGACTTTCAAGATTTTTCTTGAATGTTTCTTGATAAGCAATTTCTTTATTACTATTTTTGCATATTTCATACGCCATTACATTCATGTCAAGGTCAAAGTGAGTCTTGAAAATATTTGTGTGTTTGAACAACTACAGAGCAGGATATTAAGAGAGGTTAACTGGTCATGTTTTTGTTGACATTTAACTTCATCTTAAACTGCGACCTTCACTTTCATTACTTTTTAAGTTTGATTTGATAATTTGCCGTGGGAGATTGTGTCACCTTAGTGACAATGCTTGTTTGTGACTTTCAACACACATAGGTGTTTTAGCTCTTCATCCCTATAACTAGTGAGTATTTTTCAGCCATCACGTTCTGGCTATTCAAGTGACGAGAAACATGACCATGATCGAGAGAGAGAAAGAGATAGAGACCGGGACAGGGACCGTGATCGCGATCGGGAACGTGAGCGGGACCGGGACAGGGACCGGGACCGAGACCGAGAGAGGGATAGTAAGTCTTCTCGTCGCAAGAAATCTCCAACACCCTCCTCCAGGAAAGACAAACATGATAAGGTGAGTTGTGCTTGAGTTTCCCTTTGGCGTGGGTCTGATGCCACAGACAGGAATCTCCAAGTCCTCTGTTGAAAACAGGAGCTAAGAGCTAAGTTGTTTAGGGAGACAGGATGTCTCGGGAGTAATCACAGGCTTACATCAACATTCAAGACAGGTACTTCCAGGTTGAATATAAAGACATCTAAATCCAATCTGAGTATTATCATCTGCTTTACGGGAATTGTTGTGTGGAACATTTTCTAAATTGAATGGAATAATACCATCCATGTATTGCCACAAAGATAGCAGATGGATAAAGAGTTGCCTTCCAATTTTGGAAACTGAGATTTTCAAATGTCAGATGACAATTACTTCCACTATGCACATTAAAGAACAGACAACAGTGTTTAAAATACGTGAATTGCTATCATTTGGAAATCCAAATTGTGTTTGCTTGAGCATGCTGCCTGTGAGGAATGAATTAATCTAACAGTGTCTTATATGTGATCATTGGCATCCAGAACATATACCTAACAACAAACTGTGTAATTTAATATGATATTTTCTTTTTGTTATTGTACCTACTTACAAATTGTTTTGGTGTCATATATTTGAGGATGTCTGGAATGAGATTGTTATCACGTACAGTATTAAATGCTTTCTAATGGAGGCTGCTTTGTGACTGACATGAATTACATCCCATGGCTTTTCCCTTTTCAGCATGCTTCCAAGAAGGTTAGTGCAATCATCAGCCATTATTAACCCCACTAACCACATCGTTGAGTAGTTTACAATCTTCACCATCTTCATACACCCATTTGCACTGATATTCCAACTTCCAGTTAGGTGTTTCATATGTAGTGTTCATAACACATCCACTCGTGAAGATCCGGGTTAGAATTGATCTTCAGCAACCCATGCTTGTCGTAAGAGGCGACTAACGGGATCGGGTGGTCAGGCTCGCTGACTTAGTTGACACATGTCATCGTATCCCAATTGCGCAGATCGATGTGCATGCTGTTGATCTCTGCATTGTCTGGTCCAGACTCGATTATTTACTGACCGCCGCCATATAGCTGAAATATTGCTGAGTGCGGAGTAAAACTAAACTCACTCACTCATTCACTCACTTATAACACATCCCATCTGTCACATGATACTGTGGTCTAGTGGATAGAGTCTCAGCCAAAACAGGGGGAAGTAGGGGTTCAAATCAACTTCATACCAAAGATGTTAAAATATGTAATTGTTAGCCTGCTTTGTACTCAGTTTACGGGGGTTAAATCAGGACTGGTTGACTGGGAGTCAGTATACAGTCTTCTTGGTTGACTGGGAGTCAGTATACAGTCTTCTTGGTTGACTGGGAGTCAGTATACAGTCTTCTTGGTTGACTGGGAGTCAGTATACAGTCTTCATGGTTGACTTGGAGTCAGTATACAGTCTTCTTGGTTGACTGGGAGTCAGTATACAGTCTTCTTGGTTGACTGGGAGTCAGTATACAGTCTTCATGGTTGACTGGGAGTCAGTATACAGTCTTCATGGTTGACTGGGAGTCAGTATACAGTCTTCTTGGTTGACTGGGAGTCAGTATACAGTCTTCATGGTTGACTGGGAGTCAGTATACAGTCTTCTTGGTTGACTTGGAGTCAGTATACAGTCTTCTTGGTTGACTGGGAGTCAGTATACAGTCTTCTTGGTTGACTGGGAGTCAGTATACAGTCTTCTTGGTTGACTTGGAGTCAGTATACAGTCTTCTTGGTTGACTGGGAGTCAGTATACAGTCTTCTTGGTTGACTGGGAGTCAGTATACAGTCTTCTTGGTTGACTGGGAGTCAGTATACAGTCTTCTTGGTTGACTGGGAGTCAGTATACAGTCTTCTTGGTTGACTGGGAGTCAGTATACAGTCTTCTTGGTTGACTGGGAGTCAGTATACAGTCTTCTTGGTTGACTGGGAGTCAGTATACAGTCTTCTTGGTTGACTGGGAGTCAGTATACAGTCTTCTTGGTTGACTGGGAGTCAGTATACAGTCTTCTTGGTTGACTTGGAGTCAGTATACAGTCTTCTTGGTTGACTTGGAGTCAGTATACAGTCTTCATGGTTGACTGGGAGTCAGTATACAGTCTTCTTGGTTGACTGGGAGTCAGTATACAGTCTTCTTGGTTGACTGGGAGTCAGTATACAGTCTTCATGGTTGACTTGGAGTCAGTATACAGTCTTCATGGTTGACTTGGAGTCAGTATACAGTCTTCATGGTTGACTGGGAGTCAGTATACAGTCTTCATGGTTGACTGGGAGTCAGTATACTGTCTTCTTGGTTGACTGGGAGTCAGTATACAGTCTTCATGGTTGACTGGGAGTCAGTATACAGTCTTCTTGGTTGACTGGGAGTCAGTATACTGTCTTCTTGGTTAACTGGGAGTCAGTATACAGTCAGGGGTGGCAGTGTTAACCTGCAGCATAGTATCACAGTGCTGTCATTATTGGATACTCTGTGCCCTTCTAACCTATATGTGCAAGGCTGGAGATGTCGAACAGAGGGACATCAGGTCTATTAACTGCATAATTCCACATGGCCACTTTGTTGCATGACTTACAATACAAGTTGCCAGAATCTTAGGCTGGCAGGGAAAGGTACCACAGGTTAACATATTTATCTGCTTGTCTGTCTGTCTGTATGTCTGCCTGTCTGCCTGTCTGTCTTTTGTTGCATTACTGTATTGTTCAATATGTCAGCCCAGAATAATTCTTACAAGATTCTGATTTTTAAGTACTTCAAGATAAATTTGATCTCTTCAGGCTCTGTTTTTTCCGATGATATTTTCTATTCTTGCCTGAATGTATAGATATTCTGACAATTATTTATTTGGTATTAATAACACCAACGTCCATTCCTGATTGATTGAATATTTCAGACCTATAAGTTAGCGACAAGTTCATTCATCATTTCAGAATTTCATTTCTCAAGAGATGTGTAAGAAGATTCAGATGTGTTCCCATTTTTTTCTGTTATTTCTCTGTGGACAATTTCAATTTTCACACAAATTTCATTGTTGACATTTTGTTGTTCTTGATGATGATGTTTTCTGAGATGACGTAGTACTTGCTGATTCACTTCATGTTGACTACAATTCATTTCATGTGAAAAAGTCTGACAAAGGCGCAACCTCATATATCATTCCTTGTTGTTGATTGTTATAGAAAGAATGGAATTCCTTGCACAAGGGTTTGATGGAAATAGGGTTAACAAGCATGTGTAGTTACACCAGGTAGAAACAGTCGCATGTTTGTACTGCTGGGGAAATTCAAGGTTGTGGAGGAAAATGGGGAAAAATAATCCTGCTCCTGAAAAGTAGAAATGATGAATGTTGTGATGGTGAATGTGACAGTCTGACTGACCAACCCAGTCTGAAACGCTGGGTACCATGTCCCCTCCATGCTTGTTTTGAAGTCCTGGCATATCCGGAGATATCAAGGATATCCTGGGACTGCTGGAGTTGGACATTGATCATCATCTGTCAGGCCACGGTGATGTACCTGGCATAACTTGGCATATCCAGAGATATACAGGATATCCTGGGACTGCTGGAGTTGGACATTGATCATCTTCTGTCAGGCCACGGTGATGAACCTGGCATATCCAGAAATATACAGGATATCCTGGGACTGCTGGAGTGGGACATTGATCATCTTCTGTCAGGCCATGGTGATGTACCTGGCATATCCAGAGATATACAGGATATCCTGGGACTGCTGGAGTGGGACATTGATCATCTTCTGTCAGGCCATGGTGATGTACCTGGCATATCCAGAGATATACAGGATATCCTGGGACTGCTGGAGTGGGACATTGATCATCTTCTGTCAGGCCATGGTGATGTACCTGGCATATCCAGAGATATACAGGATATCCTGGGACTGCTGGAGTGGGACATTGATCATCTTCTGTCAGGCCATGGTGATGTACCTGGCATATCCAGAGATATACAGGATATCCTGGGACTGCTGGAGTGGGACATTGATCATCTTCTGTCAGGCCACGGTGATGTAGTAATTGTAATAGTAATAGTCCACGTATATGGCGCTCATATCCAAGCACATTGCCTGCTCACGGCGCTACGTACATTACTGTCCCCGGTCATAGGACACTATCATACTTTCCAATAATTTTCAATTCCCTGGGGATCATACAGCCATGCTGCCTGTTAGGCGCAATGAACTAAACACGCACGTTGCCAGCACATCCTCACGGGTACCCATTTTACAGCTGGGTGAACTGAGACAATGTGGAACTAAGTATCTTGTCCAAGGATACTGCTCATGCTGTTGATCAAATGTGCCCACCTGGGACCCGAACCTAAATGCCTCCACCGGGGATCGAACCCCGGCCTTCAGCGTGATAGGCAGACACCTTACCACTGCACTACTGCGCTCTGGAATATGGCTGACAGGGATGTACCTGGAATATGGCTGACAGTGGCATAACAGAAGCAAAAACCAAACAAAGCTTTGACTGAGTTAATAGTTAGTCAGATTTGACATGTGATATTGAAGTATTTAGTCTCCTAAGTTAACATGGTTAATGATCCCTGAATATGTTTTCTGAACAGTTTAAAGGTTGTGTATGCATTATTAATAAATGATTTTGCAATGAGTGGTGTATTTGAGTAGGTAGGGCTTCTTCATGCACTGTGTACAGTCAAGATAATTCTGGTTACCTATTTACAGCGGTAGTTACCATGGCTACGAGATAACAACTCTTTATCTGACAAACTCTATACAACATGTTAAGCAGTTTTTGTGATTTTTGTGATTCCTTAATATCATCCTGGAAAATCTGACTCCTCATTGTTTGCGGGCAGTGTGGTCCTGGTACCCCATGCTTGTCTTAGAGGCAGCTGTGGATTTGTTAGCTTTGATTCATGATGTAGCTTATTGATTGTCATTGCTCATGGTATGAACCAGTGACCCATGTTTGCCAGGATAGCTGGAAGATCGCTGTGGCGTAAAACATCGTTCAATCACATACTGTAGGAAATTAATTCCTAGAAGCCCCCAGTCCACAGGAACAGCCTGTAATGAAAGGTTGTTTGTTCCAGAGAGATGATGACTATGACAGCACAGAGAGTGAGCTGAGTGAAGGAGAGTTGGAAAAGAGGAGGAGGTTGTTACTGCAGCAGCTGGAGAGTGACTTATAAATGTACTTGGTCTCAGCGTGCTGGCTGGGTTCGGTTTTATATGTGGACATGCTCACAGACTACAGAGATAAGCATTAAAAACAGACAGTCAATAAATACATGTATAACAGTCTTTGTAGATGACCCATGGAGGAACATAAGATTGTCCAGAAATTTGATTATGGACCAATAATTAATTTTAATGGTTTGTTAAGAAAAGAAGGGAGAGATGATTGAAGTTTCGTAACAAGCAACGACGAATTCCAGTAAGCCGGCTGAACATGGAGGATTGATGGATTTTTTAAAGGTTGCTTTGTGAACTGCTGACTCCAATATGGCCGTGTGTCAGCTCATCAGCACATTATTTCTGAACATATATCGCCATTGCGAGTACCGCACTGAAGCTGTACCAACAGCAGTGTAGAAGATACTATGTTTGGGATTGACATTCAGTTGTATTTGATTTCCTTCCCTGTAAAGTGTCAAGATAAGGACATCATTAATTTTGTAGTCAGTATCACATCAGTGTGTATCTGCACAAGATCAACTTGAACTCACATGGCACTTTGCTTTCATTTCACCATCCTTCGTTGTCTGTGTTTCTGTACAGTGGATGATAAAAAACCCATTCTGATCATCGTTGTGTTTTTGTTATATACTTGTTGACCTTGTAATGGTGCAGTGTCTCCCATCACACCCAGCCGAACTCTGGTCTTCATCTTGCTCATGTTCAGTGTCTGGAGACATCTTGGACAGCACTGGTGAAGAGGTCTCGCCTACATGGCCTCACCTACATAATGACACCTACATAGTCTCGCATACATGGTCTCGACTACATGGTCACACCTACATGGTCTCACCTACATGGTCTCATCTACATGGTCTCTCATACATGGTCACATCTACATGGTCTCACCTACATGGTCACACCTACATGGTCTCATCTACATGGTCTCGCATACATGGTCACACCTACATGGTCACACCTACATGGTCTCATCTACATGGTCTCACCTACATGGTCACATCTACATTGTCTCACCTACATGGTCACACCTACATGGTCACATCTACATGGTCTCACCTACATGGTCTCACCTACATGGTCTCATCTACATGGTCTCACATACATGGTCTCACCTACATGGTCACACCTACATGGTCTCACCTACATGGTCTCATCTACATGGTCTCACCTACATGGTCTCACACCACCTACATGGCCTCTTCTACATGGTCTCACCTACATGGTCTCACCTACATGGTCACATCTACATGGTCTCACCTACATGGTCACACCTACATGGCATCGCCTACATGGTCTCACCTACATGGTCACACTTACATGTTCACACCTACACGGTCTCACCTACACGGTCTCATCTACATGGTCTCATCTACATGGTCACATCTACATGGTCACACCTTCATGGTCTCACCTACACGGTCTCATCTACATGGTCTCGCATACATGGTCACACCTACATGGTCTCACCTACATGGTCTCATCTACATGGTCTCACCTACATGGTCACATCTACATGGTCTCACCTACATGGTCACACCTACATCATGGTCTCACACATGGTCTCACCTACATGGTCTCACCTACATGGTCACACCTACATGGTCTCACCTACATGGTCTCACATCTACATGGGCATGGTCTCAGCCTCACATCTACATGGTCTCATCTACATGGTCTCACATACATGGTCACATACATGGTCTCACCTACACACACCTACATGGTCTCACATCTACATGGTCACACCTACATGGTCACATCTACATGGTCTCACTACCTGGTCTACATGGTCTCAGCTACATGGTCTCATCTACATGGTCTCACCTACATGGTCTACATGGTCACACACCTACATGGTCTCACCTACATGGTCTCATCTACATGGTGGTCACATCTACATGGTCTCACCTACATGGTCACACCTACATGGTCTCACCTACATGGTCTCACCTACATGGGTCTCTACATGGTCACACATGGTCTCACCTACATGGTCTCACCTACATGGTCTCATCTACATGGTCACACCTACATGGTCTCACATGGTCTACATGGTCTCACCTACATGGTCTCACCTCATCCTACATGGTCACACCTACATGGTCTCACCTACATGGTCTCATCTACATGGTCACCTACACATCTACATGGTACATGGTCACATCTACATGGTCTCACCTACATGGTACATGGTCACATCTACATGGTCTCACCTACATGGTCTCATATACATGGTCTACATGGTCTCTCATCTACATGGTCTGGTCACACCTACATGGTCTACATGGGTCTCATCTACATGGTCTACATGGTCTCACCTACATGGTCATCTACATGGTCTACATGGTCATGGCCTCACCTACATGGTCTCATCATGGTCTCACATACATGGTCTCACATCTACATGGTCTCACCTACATGGTCACACCTACATGGTCTCACCTACATGGTCTCATCTACATGGTCTCACCTACATGGTCTCACCTACATGGTCTCACCTACATGGTCTCACCTACATGGTCTCACCTACATGGTCTCACCTACATGGTCTCACCTACATGGTCTCATCTACATGGTCACATCTACATGGTCACACCTACATGGCATCGCCTACATGGTCTCACCTACATGGTCTCATCTACATGGTCTCATCTACATGGTCACATCTACATGGTCACACCTACATGGCATTCGCCTACATGGCCTCATCTACATGGTCTCATACATGGTCACACCTACATGGTCACACCTACATGGTCTCATCTACATGGTCACATCTACATGGTCACACCTACCTGGTCTCACCTAAATGGTCTCACCTACATTGTCTCATCTACATGGTCTCACCTACATGGTCTCACCTACATGGTCACACCTACATCGTCTACATGGTCTCGCATACATGGTCACACCTACATGGTCTCGCATACATGGTCACACCTACATGGTCTCACCTAAATGGTCTCATCTACATGGTCTACATGGTGTCGCATACATGGTCACACCTACATGGTCACACCTACATGGTCTCATCTACATGGCCTCGCATACATGGTCACACCTACATGGTCTCATCTACATGGTCACACCTACATGGTCACACCTACATGGTCACACCTACATCGTCTACATGGTCTCGCATACATGGTCACACCTACATGGTCCCATCTACATGGTCACACCTACATGGTCACACCTACATGGTCTCACCTACATGGTCACACCTACATGGTCTCACCTAAATGGTCTCACCTACATGGCCTCACCTACATGGCCTCACCTACATGGTCTCATCTACATGGCCTCACCTACATGGTCACCCCTACATGGTCTCATCTACATTGTCACATGTGACATGAGACCTTTTAACTCATTCCAGATACAGGTCCTAAAGTTTATTGTTTTCTTTTGGATACAATGTAAAATATAAAAATGGTATGTAAAATTTGAGTTACATTATTGTTAGATAGTAACTTTGTTGGTTTTAGTGCTTCTTATATCCAAGTTTTTTTGGATCTGATATGAAACTACCACTTTATAAAGTATAAAAACGATTCGTCTTTATGGAGATAAATGTACATTTGAAACCTGATTTGAGCCTTTTGTGATGCACTGTCTTAAGTGACTGCTTTTTGTTATACCCTAGTTTGTTGAATATTTAATGAGATGAGCTACTGTGCAATAGGGATATTGGTTTAAGGAGAGATGCAGCAATTCCAAATGTTTCTCTAGGTAGAGAGATCTGGGATCACCAGGGGCTTATATTTCTTGGCATGTGAAAACTCGAAAGTTTCTGTTTCAAATCAGACTAGGGTAACAACTGTTGTTGCAATTAAACCTTTGCTGGCATTCAAGATAAAGGTTATTAGATTTAAAGTGTGAATTGGAAACATGTTTGAGACATTGCTTTTCTGTTGTAAACTGCATTACCCAGATATTTGTTAACCATAGCTAGAGTCCTGGGATTTCCAGTTTGGACCTTGCTGTGAGCTAGGCCTGTCTACCTGAAGTAGTGTCTGATGGCAAATGTATGGATGGGTGGGTGAGTTGAGCTTTACGCCGCTTTTAGCAATACTCCAGCAAAATCAGGGCGGGGGACATCAGAAATAGGCTTCACACATTGTACCCATGTGGGGAATCGAACCTGGGTCTTTGGTGTGACAGGCGAACGCTTTAATCAATAGGCTGCCCCTCCACCCTGGCAACTGTATAGAAATATATTTGTCACACTTGCATATTTAATAATGTAGTCAAAGAAGGTTGGGCAAGTGTTTCACCAAACCTTGCGGGACATGCCATCTTATTGGCTTTTTTTCAAGTTTAACGCTTTGAATTTTGATCAAACGTGAATTTAATAAGACATTGATGGGAGCTGTCTCCTTGTATGGTTGAAGACAACAGTTACTGTAGGCATTCTCACAGTCACCACAGAGACACCATTGTACCTTGGGCCTATGTTAGGAGTAGAACCCATGCCACATCATCGGGGGCACTATTGTACCTTGGGCCTATGTTAGGAGTAGAACCCATGCCACATCATCGGGGGCACTATTGTACCTTGGGCCTATGTTAGGAGTAGAACCCATGACACATCATCGGGGGCACCATTGTACCTTGGGCCTATGTTAGGAGTAGAACCCATGCCACATCATCGGGGGCACCATTGTACCTTGGGCCTATGTTAGGAGTAGAACCCATGACACATCATCAGGGGCACCATTGTACCTTGTGCCTATGTTAGCAGTAGAACCCATGCCACATCATCGGGGCACTATTGTACCTTGGGCCTATGTTAGGAGTAGAACCCATGCCACATCATCGGGGGCACCATTGTACCTTGGGCCTATGTTAGGAGTAGAACCCATGACACATCATCAGGGGCACCATTGTACCTTGGGCCTATGTTAGGAGTAGAACCCATGCCACATCATCGGGGGCACTATTGTACCTTGGGCCTATGTTAGGAGTAGAACCCATGACACATCATCGGGGGCACCATTGTACCTTGGGCCTATGTTAGGAGTAGAACCCATGCCACATCATCTATGTTAGGGGGGCACCATTGTACCTTGGGCCTATGTTAGGAGTAGAACCCATGACACATCATCAGGGGCACCATTGTACCTTGGGCCTATGTTAGCAGTAGAACCCATGCCACATCATCGGGGGCACCATTGTACCTTGGGCCTATGTTAGGAGTAGAACCCATGCCACATCATCATCAGGGGGCACCATTGTACCTTGGGCCTATGTTAGGAGTAGAACCCATGCCACATCATCGGGGCACCATTGTACCTTGGGCCTATGTTAGGAGTAGAACCCATGTCACATCATCAGGGGGCACCATTGTACCTTGGGCCTATGTTAGGAGTAGAACCCATGTGCCCACATCATCAGGGGCACCATTGTACCTTGGGCCTATGTTAGGAGTAGAGAACCCATGTACCCACATCATCATCAGGGGGCACCATTGTACCTTGGGCCTATGTTAGGAGTAGAACCCATGTCACATCATCAGGGGGCACCATTGTACCTTGGGCCTATGTTAGGAGTAGAACCCATGCCACACATCATCGGGGCACCATTGTACCTTGGGCCTATGTTGGGAGTAGAACCCATGCCACATCATCAGGGGGCACCATTGTACCTATGGGCCTATGTTAGGAGTAGAACCCATGCACACATCATCAGGGGGGCACTATTGTACCATCATGGGCCTATTGTTAGGAGTAGAACCCATGTCACATCATCGGGGGCACCATTGTACCTTGGGCCTATGTTAGGAGTAGAACCCATGCCACATCATCGGGGCACCATTGTACCTTGGGCCTATGTTAGGAGTAGAACCCATGCCACATCATCATCGGGGCACCATTGTACCTTGGGCCTATGTTAGTAGAGTAGAACCCATGCCACATCATCGGGGGCACCATTGTACCTTGGGCCTATGTTAGGAGTAGAACCCATGCCACATCATCGGGGGCACCATTGTACCTTGGGCCTATGTTAGGAGTAGAACCCATGCCACATCATCGGGGGCACCATTGTACCTTGGGCCTATGTTAGGAGTAGAACCCATGCCACATCATCGGGGGCACCATTGTACCTTGGGCCCCATGTTAGGAGTAGAACCCATGCCACATCATCTTGCAATGTACATTATCAATGATTTCCCCGACCAGAATAATTATTCGCTGGGTCGAATATAATGATGTAAATGAATGTGCAGTGCATGCCCGTTCACACCAACGTTATACCTGGCTGTAGCATGAACTGGTGAAAGTCTGCAACCATCACATTACTCGTATCTACTCACAGTAAGAGACTGCTGTTGCAACTTTTATATTTGAATGTAAACGAAGGAGTTTATGCTGTCTAAGGACATCCATGTTTTAAATCGACTTGGCCACTCAGACCTCCGCGTTTAAACGATTAAACACAGGGTGTTTGTGGTCTCGCCTATACCCAAATACCGGACATGCAATATGCCAACATTAATGGTCAGCACAGTATTCTGGCAGTTTCTGAAAGGACCATGACACTGGGAATGTGCATAATCCATATTGATTCCCTTATCACAACACATAAATACAGAAAGAAATAGGAAATCTGCGCACTTTCGAGGCGGCCTCACCATCATTTAGTGGTGTGTGGAATTGAATAAGGATCTGAGTGTTAAACTTCAAATTAACTGATTTTGAAATCGAAAACACATCTTAAAGCGTAAAAATGAAATATTCCCATCAGAAAATGCTCAAAAAAAACAACTTGGCTGTAAAGAGCAAATGCAAATCTGATGGCGCATCTTAAATAAATGATAGGCTGCTGGATGTTGCCCTGAACAAATAGACGAAAATCTCCAAAGCAAATAAGAGCACGTCTCAACATGGCATGCCATGCATCAATCGAGAATGTAACTTGTCCGAGAGTCTGCTCAGTGTCTTGGTGTCTATACGGAGGTAACTAATGTAATTGTGGTACCCTGTAGGCTGGTCTGTTTCAGTGTTTCTATTGCAGGACGCCTGTAATACAGTTACCAGCATGGGAATCGCGCGCACATGTAGCAGATCAACGTTATTAAGATGTTCAGGAATCTTCAGTACAAATACTCCCATGGACTAAAGGGCCATGGCCAGCGCTGTAGTCTTATACACAGATACTCGGCAGAAGCGGAAGGCTACCTGGCTACCATTGACCAATATTTGCTTCTAAAGTATGTGTATAAGTTTGTTATATTTATTGGCATTTTGATAAATAAGAATAACTTAAAAAAATCAAAGTACACGAGATACCTAAAGTAATTTATACGTCTAAGATGACACATGAAGATACGGTCACGAACCGGTCATAAAACAACCCTTGCATGTCGGAAGCGGCAGCTAACGGGGTCGGGTGGTCGTGTTCGTTCACTTGGTTGATGCATGTCATCGTATTGGAATTTCGTAGATCGATCGCATTATATCAAGGATTTTCTGGTCCAGATTCGAGTATTTACAGAGAGGCGTCATAAAGCTGGAAACTGAGTTCTACGTCACACGTCAAACAAACGAAAGTCTATCTATCTCATGCAGGTTCAGATTCTTGAGAAGCCGCCCCGGATATGTTAGACAATATGTATACATAGTACATAATGTGCTCGCTTCTGGTCGACATATCATTTGCAGTCTACACTACTTAAATCATGTCTCCTACAACGACACTAAAATAACAATATTTTGTCATTAATATCTATGGGAAACGGTCGTGGTCCCTGTTTTGTCGGACACGACGTGTTGATGACGTCGTTCCCTCCCGCTGCCACGCTCTGTGCTGGTCCTCGAGAGAGGCAGTGGGGAAGTGCCATCAGTAGTTCTTCACAAACGCACGCAATTTCCTCCGGATGCCAGCGATTAACGGAAGAAGGTTTGTTTGAAGTTAATGGTACTCAGTTCTCAAAGGCGATCATATCAGTAAACGCATTTATAACGTAAAAGTTCAAGATAAAATACGTCTTTGCAAAAGTAACCTTTAATCCGCTGACAGTAATTTTATAAAGAAGAACGTCACTTCGCCTGGTATTGCCGCAATCCTGTTTCTTCCATCCTTTTGTATCCTGCGTGGGTTTACTGGGGGTTGGGCCTTGGACATTTGAAAACCTGGCCTATTTCATTCAAGTGGACCGCCTCCGTGGTGTAGTGGTTAGAGCGTCCGCCCGGAGAGCGGAAGGTCGCGGGTTCGATCCCCGACCGCGTCATACCAAAAGACGTTAAAATATGGTACTTGTTGGTCCCTGCCTGGCGCTCGGCATTAATGGGTACAACAAGGACTGGTCGGCTAGGAGTCAGTATAATGTGTCTGAGTGGGGTATTC